TTGGAATTATTCTTGGAAATGAATTTGAATTTGATTGAATAACTACAACAATAAGAAATGCAGTAAATTGTAGCATAGTTGGAAATATAGAAAGAGATGCTTGTGCCTAACCACGACCTAGGTGATCAAACTAAGTCTTGATGACATGATTTATTTTGTGGAAGAACTATGCTTGATTATCATGGTGCAAATTATTTTAATATCATGATTGAACAAGGTCTCTGCGCCATGTGAATATATCACTCGTAGTGAGAGCCTCCTGTAGAGGATCTAATTTGAACAATTTTCTTATTTGTTTTCACATGATTTCATGACTAGTATTTAAACTAATTTAAAGTGAGCTATATTTATACTACTTCTCAACCTTTCCTGCAGAAAGAGTTGAATAAGGATAACATTATGCAATGAATTTGCAATTACTTATAAACTTTCTATTTGTTTACCTGAAGTAAACATTGTATAAATAAAGGTGTTGGAGGCTTTTAAGCGTCTAGCCAAACCTAGAAACTCTTGATTATATAATAAATAAAATATTTAGTCATTATATTGTGAACACCTGAAGTGTTTGTATACTAATTTGAGATCCTAGGAAGACCAAAACATGTCGCATTTAAGTTTTACGGACCAATATTTGAGAATACTCAATTATTGATTATTTGACGTGCATAATAACAATAAACTTGATGAAATACACATTGCAGAATCATGAATTTAGACAATTGCTTCCACTTATTGTATATTTTTCACCTAAACATATTGAGTTGTTGTTGTTGAAGGGGGACAATTAATTGGTCCAGAAGACTATGTGTTATCTTTTTCCTTAGCCAAGTTTTTGTCCCAAAGGGTTTTTCTTGGCCAAAGGTTTTCAGGTATTTTGTAGTTTTTAAAGAGTGAGAAAAATACATAACATTCAGAAGACTATTATCCTCTAAAAGAGTGATTCTGATATTAGTTTGGGAGATAGTACCCTGAAGGTCTTAATTGGTCCTTGTGAGATCGAACAATTTATTGGTCCGGAAGACCATATACAATTGCACTCTTTTTCCTTAACCAAGTTTTCTCCCATAGGGTTTTCTTGGTCAAAGGTTTTAACGAGGCAGTCAATCCAACACATCGTTATACATATATTATGTACTCTTTTCCTTGATTGGTTTTTTCCCAAAGGGTTTTTCCAACAAGGTTTTTAACGAGGCATACACATAGCAAAATATTGCTACAAGAAGATTATAACCAAGATGGATTGAATTCTACAAGAAGACTTGGAGAGAAATCTTGTAGTGATGTAGTCAACAGAGGGAGTATATATGCGCTGCACTCTTTTTCCCTTGACCAAGGTTTTGCCCCATTGGGTTTTTCTCGGCAAGGTTTTTAACGAGGCGGCATCACCAACACATACAAAGAGAATGATGTATTTTTTATCTTATAATGTATTTTATTTAGCAATGTACATCCAAGGGGGAGTGTTATGTAATTATGGATGTCCATTAGTTCATAGCCCGAGCCCATATGTATTGGCCCATCTGATGATTGTAACCCTAGCTCCCCTCCTATATATACATCCTCATATATGAATGAAAGTATGCTTTTGGGTCTACTCTATTACAAGAGTAAGTTTTTTTTTTAATTCTAGCTATACTCCGTGCATGAGACGGGTAAGTCGTCTAGTTTCACTAATTTGTGCAGTCGATTCAGTGAGTTGGCTCTAAATTAATTATTACGGAGCTCTGTTCTAAAAATCGTTCTAGGCGTCTGATTAGTCCCCGCCTAGGCGCTAGGCGCTGGTCCGGCACCCCGATTTCTATCTAGACGCTCCAACTAATTGGTTAGCCGTCTAGGTGAATTAGTCGGCCACCTATGGCGCCTAGTTGCCCACATAGAGCGCCTAATCGGCCGCACGCCTAGGTCGTCTGGATTCACCGTACGTTACTTTACTTTTTAATTTTAAATTTCTAAGCGCTATACATACTTTAACTTTAGCCATTGATATAACGAAATGAAGTTGTAAATTAAGATAAAACTTATATATGTTTGTACATATACCCAAATTTTATCATTATTTATATTTTTAACATAATGAAGTTAATTGATTAGTTATCATATACTCCCTCCGTCCCAGAAAATTGTACCCACTTTGACTTGGATTAGATTTTAAGAAAGGTTATAAAATGCTTTGACTTTCCCAAAGCGCCCCTAAAGTGAAATTAAAGCAGAAGGAGAAAGGAATTGCGGCTGGGGAGGGGGGGGGAGGGGGGATTTACTGCCCAAAACTTTACATTGTTCATAAGAGTACCCTTTTACACCCTTCGTACTACACCCCTTCCCCCCTAAAGTTCCCTCCTTTGTTGGGAAAGCTTCTAAATTAACCCTATCTATAAATACACATTCCAAATGTTCCCTCCCTCACAAAAATTCACTACATACTATCACACACTTCACGCAGCATTTATGGCCGCAAACAGCAATGGCGCCCAAACTGCTTCTTCCCCCACTGCAGCTTCCATTAATGAAGAGATGTCTTCAGGTGCAGTGAATGCTTCTTCCTCACCAACTGCCATATATGAAGCCCTGCACACACCAACAAATGGCCAAAGCTCAAATATCAATGCAAGAAGACTACAAAACTGTGAACGAGAGAGAATAGTTAATGAAATTCTAATCAGTGCAACAAGAACAGATTCTGGGGAGGTGATAGCTCAGCATGGTGTTCTAAATCAGCTTGCCACTAAATATTCAGTGACCAGAAAAACTATTTTTAGGATCTCGAGCAAAGCAAAAGAGCATATTCAAGGGGGGGGGGAGCAATAGATGTCAAAACCAAGTGGATGGGAAACTCAGACAGAAAAAGAGTGTTGTTTGATGTAACCAACATTTCACAAATCCCACTGCACAAAAGGACTAACATAAGGGCACTTGCTTCGGCCGGTTCAGTTTCAAAGTCAAGTATTCACATATTGGTTCAGAGAGGTGTGCTTAGAAGCCATACAAATGCTATTAAGCCTTTGCTAAGTGATGCAAATCAAATTCACAGATTGATGTTCTGTTCCAGACAAATAGACAATTAATCAATTCCAGGAAATCCAGTATTTAACAATTTCCATAATGTGATACACATTGACGAGAAATGGGTTTTCTTGTCAAAAACATCTCAAAGATACTACATGCACAGGAAGAAATGGATCCACATAGGGTATGCAAGTCTAAAAGATTCATAACCAAGGTCATGTCACTAGGAGCAGTGTGGAGGCCTTTGTTTGCAGATAATGGGGAAGTAATATGGGATGGTAAAATAGGCATTTTCCCATTCATTGAGAAAGTGGCTGCTAAAAGGAAAAGCAAGAACAAGGATGCAGGGGTAATGGAAACCAAACCTGTACTGAGCATAACAAAATCAGTGTTTAAGGACATGTTGATCAACATTGTGCTGCCTAGCATCAAGGAAAAATGGCCAGAGCAATTAAGTAAGGACATTGTAATCCAACAAGATAATGTAAGGCCACACATCCTAGATTCAGACCCAGACTTTATGGTTGTCTCAAAAGCATATGGGTTTAATATTACCCTAACTAACCAGCCCCCTAATTCTCCTGATCTTAACATACTGGATCTTGGGTTCTTTAGGGCAATTCAGTCTTTGAAAGACCAACAAGCACCTAAGAATGTGGATGAACTGTTAAAGGCAGTAGATGAAGCATTCTACCATCTTTCACCCACCACTCTAAACAAGGTTTGGTTAACCTACCACTATGTGATGTTAGAGATTATGAAAGTGGAGGGGGGGGGGGGGGGGGGGGGACAACTACAAGCTGCCACACCATGCAAAGGACAGAATGATCACAGAAGGCAGACTACCAACAAGCATAGAGGTTGCTGTGGAGTTACTAGAATAAGCCGATTCATAAGTACCACAAAATTAATCTTGCAACTAGGCTTATTACCCCTCATCTTGTTAGATCTGCTGCCCTTATTCGTGATGATAATGGTAACTACACTAGTCACATAACTTCCATAGCCGCAACCCTTGACATCATTGTGGCAACTTATGATGCCATCATTGATACTCTCCAAGCCATTCCTAAAATCAATTTGACTAATTTTGTGCTTGAGGTTGATAACAGTGAAGTGTATGAAGGAATCATGGGAATTAAGAAACAACATCGGAGGACTTGGTCTCGGATCCAGACCATTAAACGCAAGCTAAAGGCATACAGCCGGAGTCTTACACACATTCATCCGACAATCAACAAGGCTGCTGATTATTTGGCTTATAAAGAGCACTTCCATAAAAACCAAGAATCATCATTTTAATCATTTTGTTGGTATTTTAAAGTTTGATGCAGTTAGCTATCCCTATGTAATTTGATTTTGAGTAGGTTTCAGTTTGGTTCCCCTACTCTTTGTACTCTTCTTTCTAATAAACTGATAGGGTGTTTCCTGGCCCCTACCCCAAAAATCCGTTTTCACTAAACGATTTTTTGGTTTGAATACCGGGTTAAAAAATACAATATTATTTATCATATTTATGCAAAAATATAGATAAAAATGTAATTTTTATGTCTCCGACTAGTCCCCGACTAGGCACCCGCCTAGCCGCTACGCTAACGCCTGGTGCCTTTTAGAACATTGTTACGGAGTAATAATAATAATAATAATTCAATAGCAGTGTGATTATACGTAGTACTCCCTCCATCCCTTAAAACTTTGTCATCTTTCCTTTTTGGGACATCCCAAAAAACTTTAACATTTTTCCTTTTAATAAATTATTTTGTAGTTTCTGTTATTTCTCTCTTCTTTGCATAAACCTCAACCACATAGGTTTTAGTTTATTATTCTAGGTGCCGTTCAACTTTGACAAAATTTTAAGAGAGTAAAGTGGTATTACTTTTTTGTATCGGTTTAATTTTGAATTTTTAAAGGGATTACGGATGGTCCAAACACATTGAAAAGGGAAAGTAAAAACAGAAAGAAGGCTGCTAAAAACGCACGTCAAATGGCGGCAATTTGGAAATACAATGTAGAGAGAGAAACCAACAGATTAAGGATTTATATATCCAGAGAGGGAAACATGATCATCAGAGATGAAGGAGGAAGGAGCAGTAAGTACTACGCAGCCTGGAATTACCCCCGACAATCCGCCGCAGAAGATGAAGAAAGCCACCGGAGTCTCCCCCATTCTTCCCTCGCCCGCGGAGAGGAAGGAGAGGGGCGAAAAGTGCGGAAATAGAGGACAGTCGTCCGGGACGCCACGTGGCGGGCTGTGAGTGGAGGACGCGCGGCTCGCTTCCCGCGACCCCTCCATCCCTACACAAGGTCAGTGTGGTGCGTTGTGTGATGTGGAACACTCCCCACCCACCCCGCAAGACATACCCGCCCCACCTGGGAATCCGTATACGTAGGCAATCTCTCTCTAGAAACTCATTCTCCCTCTATTTTATACTTTCCACCGCTCTCTCTCTCTTCGTTCTCGTATTCCTCTCGCTTTCTCTCTCTATCCCCGTCCAATACCCTAAATCGCCTAATCTCCAGTGCCCCTTTGCTATCTTTAGCCCTGCCAGCGAACAAGCCTGAGTGTTTCTGCTGTTTTGTTTGGTTTTGATCGGCTTGAAGGATTGGTATGTCCTATTCTCAATCTCGGTCTTTGTTAATTTTAAGCGTATTAGTGGGTTCCTGCAATTTCAGCTTATTCTTGTGTGTTTTATGCTTTTCTCTCATGTGGGTACCTTCTTGATTGATAGTAATGTTGTACAATTTAGCTTCAGCGTTGCTGAGTAGTTTGGGCTTTAGGTGGCTGGAAAGCTCACCCAGAGCTAAAATATTAAGTTGAAGGTAAAGACTTAAAATTTTAGGAGCTGAGTGTATATGCTTGTGCTAGCTCTCATGCTTTTGTTCAGATTAACAACTGCATGCATGAAATGGTTTTATCATATGTGTGGAACCCTTGCTCATCAAAGTAGTTTAAGTTCATTTGATATGTGAGTTTTGTGCATTTGGGAGTTCAATAGCCCACTTTCCATTTGCTAGGCTGAATTAGAAATTCACGAGTGTTATAAATGGCTACGGTTGCCTTTTCAAACTCATCAAGTCCAGTATCTAATTGATATTTCTTTATGTCTTAGCAAGCACATAGAACGATTGTTCTTTTAATATAATTATTCGAGAGGGGGAGGGTTGGTGGTTTGTGTGTTTCCATAAACATGTTTCCCCTCGTCATTCTAACAACAATCAGTTTTTAATGCTGTCTTGAAATTGAATTTGTGGAAGTAATCTTGGTTGGTGTTATGCATATGAGTTTTCACCTACAAATTCATGCATTACTGCCCACTCGTTTTTTTACTGAAGAATTAATATTCAATTTTGTTGCAGGTGGTCACTTGAAGGAATAGTTTCTTTTTTTCTGGATATTTCATAAATCTTGTTTATTTGATATTATTACACACTCAAAGCTCGTGTTATGTACTTTTTGACCTAACAAATTTAGAAAATGGTTTTAGTTTTGCCGTGTTTGATTTCTTCACAGCTGATTTTGCAAGACAATTTATTAATCCTAAATAACTCTATTACTCGTAGTATTAAGTACCAAATGATTAAAGTTAACATATGTTTTGGATGGTTCGTATCCAATGCCTTTGCCTTCTTAAATTACGTATCCGTATATTTGTTCTATAGTGTCTTGGGGCTTGTTTGGTTCTGGAATTTCAAAGGGGAGGTAAAGAAAGGAGTGGTATCAGTTTTTAAAATTGTTCCTACATTTAGATGCCTGGAAATAAAGTGAAGATTAAAAATTATATAGAAATACATCTTTTAAGTTTTAACTATTAGGATGTAATTGGACTGGTTTCAGTCCCAGGTTAGACGAGATAGACTTCAACAATTGTAAAATACGCATAGTGTGATAGAACAGATATCGATTAGACCAGAAAAAACCAATCTTAAACAGATCAGACTGGATCAAACCAGACCAAACCAGAAAATTTCAGCCCAACTAAAACATCCTTAATGTAATTTAAGATTAACAAATAGGGATAAGATAATGGAACTCCAATTAATCCCCCCCTCCTAAATCCATGAACCGGTCATTCCGGTCAAGCCCTCAGTGTAGAATCAAACTATCGAAGTTCTTTGATTTATTCACCTAAGCTAAAGCAATGTTCTTGCACAAAGAAAGGGATCTAGGTACGTAGAAGATACTCCAGTAAGGATTTTAGAAGTAAATATGATCACTTTATGGTAGTCTCCTTTATGTTTTAAACTATATCTGGTCTTTTTATGCTTGATCTCCATTATCTTCCTCTCCAACTAATCTAGCATCTTTCATGGAAGATTAATGAACAAAAGTACTTCAAACACTATTTAATTTCAAACATGCCCTTCATTGCAGTTCTGAGATGTACATACCCTGTTGCCAGCAATGAAAGAAGATGTTGCAGAAGCTAGCAAAATGCTTAACAAAAACTGGGTCCTGAAACGCAAAAGACGGAAGATTCCATCTGGCTTGGATTCATTAACCCTCAAGGAAGAAAAATCTCAACCCCCCGATTTAGCAGTATGTAATACTTCATCTAAACATGGGGTGAAAGATGAAATCGTGTCGGGCCGTTCCTCTTGCAAGAAAAGGGGAGACGATGGGGTGGGTTTTCTTTGTGTAGTTTCTTTGGGTGTACTGTTATTTTTTGACAATTTATATACTAAAGTAATCGTCTTGAAAAGTAGAAGGTAAGGAATATGTCTTTTAGAAAGAAATCAGTGATGGTTCGGTATAAGAGCCATGAATGCTTAACTGCATACCAAAACTTCAAAGAGTATATTATTTCTATAGGAATAAAAGCATTCTTTTCCTATGATTGCATTAGGTGAATTCATGTAGTGAAATAGGGTTAACTTGCGTTGATGATTTTCTCTTGAAATTCATGTGGTTAACTTGTGCATTCATATGACTGCATTAGGTGAAATAGGGTATCACTGTATCAGTGACATGAATGTCAAACAATGAGTCTAAATGACAACAATTTTCACTTCATTTCACTATTGATCTAAGGATTTTTCTTTTTTATTTTGCAGTACTATTATGAGTGTGTTGTGTGTGATCTTGGTGGAAATTTGTTGTGTTGTGAGAGTTGTCCTCGAACATATCACATTCAGTGTCTAGAACCTCCACTTAAGGTATGTTTGCTACTTACATTAGTGCATTTATTCACTTCAGTTCAATTGAATGCTTTTAACTTTTAACATGTATCTGACTGCAGCGTATACCAACCGGGAAATGGGAATGTCCAAAGTGTCATCTCATGACAGAAGAGTCCCCCGGCCCCCAAAGTAATTTAGATTCTGTTTCAAAACGAGCCAGAACAAAGGTCACTATTGTGGAACCTAACAGTGAGAATAAAGCATCTGGAAGTACTAAGACGTCTAAGAACATTGGAGGTTCCATTCTTAATAATAAAAAATTGTCAAGTAAAGTAAAATCTTCTTTGTCTCAACGAGTCCATAATGAGAAGAAGCATTCCTCCCTGAATAATGTTATTTTGAAGACCAAACTTAACCATGCCCCAGGAGATGGTTCTGCTGGTTGTAGTACATCAAACATGAGCGTTGAAAAGGTGCCAACTGATAAGAAATCTACTACTCCCACTAAGGAAGTTATTTCTCTATCAAATGTAGAGGGTCTGAAGAAGAGCAAAGAGGCTTCTGTGAGAAGGGATCGGAAGTCAATGGATTCCGCTTCAAAGAAAGAAAGGAAAAGGAAACGCGAGTTCTTCTCAGTAGATAATTGGAAGAAGCGCAGAACTGACAAGTCCAAGGATGCTGCCAAAACAAAAAAAAGTAAATTTGGCTCAAAAACTGCCCATCCTGGGACCAGCAATAAAGCTCAAAAGAAACTCAAGTCAATTAACGACAAAGCCTCTGCAATTACGTCAAATCAGGATGTTAGAAAGGAAAAGGATACTGCTGATGAGCAGCTTAAAGAAGAGGTATATGGCTACATGCCTCAATCATGATATTAATCATACTATCTGCCGTACTTGTTGTAAAAATATACTAGTAGAATATCTATAATTGGTTCCTATTTGTTACTGTAAAACAATGTCTAAGCCGGAGTTTATATACTTAAAATTTGACTAGTTATTGATAGTCATGAAAAGTGTCTTGGTTAGATTTTTGTTTCTTTTGTTTCTTGATGAGTTACAAGTCTTTATCAGTTTCAATTACCACTTTCTTAACATTAAATTTAACACTTTCTTAACATTAAATTTAACATTCTGGAAAAACTGAATAGCATTGTGCAGTTGAAGCCTGTTTAGAATAAATAACAGGGTAAAGTGTTACACATTATCAGCAATATTCCATGATCTTAAAGTTAGTCTTGTCATCCAGTAAGAAATTAAAAAGTGATGTTTTGCCCTTTTTGTAGCAGACTAGCAGTCAAGACTTTTATTCTAGGGTTCAGCTTAGGATAATTCTTTTGGATGGGGGGAGCATGAAGGCTTTCTCTCGGTTCAGATGACAAGTTCCTTGTGTATATAATCAGTACATAACAGTAGCTTAAGCCATATTGTGACCTGCAGGGTAATAGGAGTTGATTGAATCTATTTGGATGATTCTTATGTGAATAGGTCTATCTTTCTTCAAGTACAACCTTACAAAGTTACAAGTAAATACTATTGCAGCAAGTTGGCATTTTTTTTGAAACGGTACATATGTTCCTAACGGACTTGATGATTACAATGTCAAACACTATCAACATTCTCAGACTCAGTATAACAAATGGTTACGTTAATGATGAGATTCCTCTTGGTCCCCAAAAACAAAATATTTTTTATGTGCACCAATGTTGGCATTTGGTCTTTTGCCCTCCTCTTTATCTAGTAACTCAGATCCTTATTTATCTTTAGTGTCTTCTAGGAATAAGTAAAGGAAAAGGCTCCGAAGGTTATTCTTCTTCAAAAATGAAGATGATTAGCTGGAAAAAGCAACTTGTTTAATTCCATTCTAGTGTCTGTATCTGTCATATAAATCAGCAAATCCAATCTGATAGAGATTATCAATAGTTTGCAACTAATACTAATCAATTAGACTGCAGAAGTACAACTATTATCATGCTTATAGTTTTGGGAACTTCTTATCACATTACATATCAATACACACACACACACACATATATATATACATATATAGTAACGTTCCTGTCCAGCTGGCCTGCCGGGAACCGCCGTCCGGCCGAGGCCATTTGGGGTCCTTCCTGATGGAATTTTTTATTAGTTTTTTTGAGCATGTTCTTCATCAAGTCTAGTTTATGCCCACCAAATTTCATCTAAAAATTCAACCGGGAAGGCAGTCAAATAATTTTCTGAAAAACACTGTGCTGTTTATATATATTTAACTGCACAATATTCTTAACTAATTTATTTAACTGCCTTCCTGATTGAATTTTTAGCTGAAATTTGGTGGACATAGACTAGACTTGATGAAAAACATGTTCAAAAAATTCCATCAAAAAGTTCCACGGGAAGGGCCCCAAACGGCTTTGGCGAGGCGGCGGTTGCCGTCAGGCCGGCTGAACATGAACTGTCCTCTATATTTATATGTATATGATAGTTTTTAATGCCAATGACATTTGTTATTGAAATAAGATTAAAAGAGATCATCTATACTGTGATAAGATTATAAGAGATGATATGGTCTTTGCTTCCTTTTCCTTTTAAACGTTTACACTCATTTACTCTTACTCCTGATCCATTTATCTGGTTACATTCATTCTGCAGATAGTTACTGAGGAGGAATCTCTCCCATCTGAAGAATTGGGAAAAGTTACTGTTGAACCAGTCACATGTGAAGAAATTGGGCTTGACGCTCAACAGGTACAGTTGACATATGATTTAATGCTGTAATGTAATAATTACCTGTTTCAAATTAGTGGGCCAGCTGCGTAGAGTTTCCCTTCTCATCCATCACCTACTTCTTTGGCCCTTCAAAAGGTTGCCTTATTTGACTTATTTGGTCAAAGATTTTCAACTTGACCAATGTTTTAATCATGAAAATTACAAATTTTGTACTTTTATGAGGCTATTTTTAACATAGAACATTTTCATAGTACTTTCATATAACGTAGTATTCTAGTCAAAAAATATACGAAGTAATTTAGGTTATTGGTCAAAGTTCAAAATCTTCGATAAAAAAGTCAAAGCTGGAAAACATTTTAGGTAGTAAGGGGGTATTAAACAGAAAAGTAAGAAAGTGAATAGCGATGTTAGAACTGTTATTTCTGTTATTTTCATATATGTTACTCAAATGCAGGTTGATAGAGTACTGGGATGTCGAGTTCGGGAGGTTGACGCAAGAAAGTTGTGCAGTACTGATTTGTCAACAGTGAATGATGACCCACAGTCAGAGGGATCTCCTGTCCATAAAGTTGCAAAAAAGTTGAGCCATAGAGACCCTGGTGGTGATATAGGTTCTGATGAGATAGCTTTTACGGATGGCTCTCAAGGTCTCACTGATTGTCCTGATGAAGCAAGGGTCATAAAAGATGAAATTCTAAAGGATAAAGTTCAAGGTGATGATTCAGCAGGAAGAGAGGACTACCAAATGAATGCTGAAGAATATGATAAAACTAATGAAAAAACTTCAAGAGAAACTGATGCACGTGTGGAGATCCATAGTTGTAATGATAGTACGGAATGCTCTGACGATTATGCCTCTAATCAACTAGCAAATGCGAAGGCAGTTGATACAGCATTGGCTGCGCCTAGCATGCCTCAAAAGAAACGCAAGGGGTCTATCTTGGTTGAATCATTGAACTCCAATGGAGTAACCGTTTTGTATGAATTTCTGATCAAATGGGTTGGGAAATCTAATATTCATAATACATGGGTATCAGAGTCTGAGCTTAAAACAATGGCAAAACGGAAGCTTGACAATTACAAGGCAAAATATGGTACAGCCACAATAAATATTTGCGAAGAGCAATGGAAGATTCCTCAACGAGTAATTGCTGTCCGCTCTGCTTCTGGTGGTGCAACAGAAGCTTTTGTGAAGTGGACTGGTCTCCCATATGATGAGTGCACTTGGGAAAGGACAGATGAACCAGTGATCTCGAAATCATCCCACCTGATTGATCTGTTTCACAGATTTGAATACCAAGCATTGGATAGAGATGCTACTAAGGAAGACATATTGAAGAAAAAGAATGGAATACAACACAGTGACATATCTTCTCTCACAGAGCAGCCTAAAGAGCTCCAAGGAGGCTTACTATTTCCCCATCAAATGGAAGCCTTGAATTGGTTGCGCAAGTGCTGGTCCAAGTCCAAAAATGTCATTCTTGCTGATGAAATGGGGCTTGGGAAAACTGTGTCAGCTTGTGCTTTCTTGTCAGCAGTGTACTTTGAGTTCAAAGCTAGATTGCCTTCACTTGTCTTGGTTCCTCTTTCAACACTGCCAAATTGGATGGCAGAGTTTTCACTGTGGGCTCCTGAACTAAATGTTGTAGATTATCACGGGAGCTCCAAAGCGAGAACCGTAATCCGTCAGTATGAATGGCATGCCGGCAACCAAAATGGTTCAAATAAAAAAACTTCTTCCTACAAATTTAATGTTCTACTAACGACTTATGAAATGGTTCTTGCCGATTTGTCTAATCTTCGTTGTATTCCTTGGGAAGTTCTTGTGGTGGATGAAGGACATCGTCTAAAAAACTCTAGCAGCAAGCTCTTTGGCTCACTCAACACATTTTCGTTCCAGCATCGTGTGCTTTTGACTGGTACTCCTCTTCAGAACAATATAGGAGAGATGTATAACCTACTCAATTTCTTACAGCCGACATCCTTCCCATCATTGTCTTCATTTGAGCAGAAGTTTAATGATCTTACGACTGCCGAAAAGGTAGACGAATTGAAGAAACTTGTTGCGCCACACATGCTCCGGAGGCTTAAGAAAGATGCCATGCAAAATATTCCCCCTAAAACAGAACGGATGGTTCCTGTTGAGTTAACATCTATCCAAGCAGAATACTATCGTGCAATGCTGACAAAGAACTATCAGATTTTGCGCAACATAGGAAAAGGTGTAGCACAGCAATCAATGCTGAACATTGTGATGCAGCTGAGAAAAGTGTGCAACCATCCTTATCTAATACCTGGTACTGAACCTGAATCTGGCTCATTGGAATTCCTCCATGAAATGCGGATAAAGGCTTCCGCAAAGCTAACTCTTCTCCATTCTATGCTCAAGATTTTGCATAAAGAAGGTCACAGAGTCCTCATATTTTCACAGATGACAAAGCTTCTTGATATCCTTGAGGATTATTTGACAATTGAATTTGGCCCTAAGACATATGAGAGAGTTGATGGATCTGTTGCAGTGGCTGATCGTCAAACAGCAATTGCACGTTTTAACCAAGATAGATCTCGTTTTGTCTTCTTGTTATCAACACGCTCATGTGGCCTTGGAATCAATCTAGCTACCGCAGATACTGTCATCATTTATGATTCAGACTTCAACCCTCATGCTGATATCCAAGCGATGAATCGTGCACACAGGATTGGACAATCAAATAGACTTCTGGTTTACAGGCTGGTTGTTCGTGCTAGTGTTGAAGAACGCATATTGCAACTCGCTAAGAAAAAATTGATGCTTGACCAACTTTTTGTAAATAAGTCAGGATCACAAAAGGAGGTGGAAGATATCCTAAGATGGGGAACTGAACAACTTTTTAGTGATTCCTCTAGCGAAGTGGAGAATGGGCTAAGTGAAAATATGAACAATAACTTCGAAGCTGTTATGGAAATAGAGCAAAAGCATAGGAGGAAGATTGGGAGCCTTGGGGATGTGTATAAGGATAAATGTGCTGAGATCAGTACCAAGATAGTTTGGGATGAGAATGCCATTCTAAAGCTGCTTGATCGATCTACCCTCCAGTCAGACTCACCTGATAGCAATGAAGCTGAAATTGAGACTGATATGCTTGGTTCAGTGAAGGTAAAATATAGCTTATTACATTTAGTCACCATATTATATAAATGCATTTCATTGTGCCTGGTCAAACATAAAGTTAATATGTGCAGTTATATTATTTTTCCGTGGATCATCAAATTTTGCATCCCAGTATTTGTAATGGATTAGATGCGGTTTTATAGCTATGTTAATTCTGATACATTTTTTTCTGGTAATGAAAATAATTTGTATTAGTAGAAGGAATTCATATGCTTGAAGGACCAGATGGTCTTCTATACAAATAGATTAAAGTAAAAAAATGTGGGGTAAATCTTAAAGAACAATCGATGAGATATCCTGAAAGCCATTTCTTTTTCGTTATCAGCATTTTTAAAGATAATGACTATAACAAAAACATCCTGTTCTTGTATTCAAAACAAAACTTTTGTTTTGTTTTCAAGCAGTCTTCAGAGTGGAATGAAGAAGCAAATGAAGAGCAGGCTGGTGAATTAGTACTTGCCGCGGTGAACGATGATACAATCGCACAGAATTTGGAGATGAAAGAGGAGGCTATAGTTGGTAGTAATACTGAAGAAAATGAATGGGACAGACTTCTGCGAGTGAGGTAAAATGCAGTACTTTTATTGGCAGATCAATCTTCATCCGTTAATGATTAACAAATTGAGATCCCTCCCTCTTAGCTGTGAAGGAATTCACTATTGTAGGGCCCTATTGCATTCATTAGTAGCCGAAATGTATGCCACATCGTTACTACTGAACATGCGAGAACAAAAGTAGAACCCTATTGGATCAGAATCAACTCTATTCTTCAATGTGGGTTATAAGCAAAAGTGGACCTTAAAAGCTTGTTTGGCTGGGGGACTTTTAAGGAGAGAGGAAGATAGCACTGTTTTTTAATTAGTAATTTATCTCTATCTGTTAATAGTACACTACTAAGTTATTAATTATTTTGTTAATTCATGTATTTCAGTAGTCTTTTTCATCTTTACTTTCTTTCCAACCTTATAAATGTAAGAATACAACAACAACAACAACATCCAAGCCTTTTTCCCAACAGATTTTGGGGTCGGCTAACTTGAATCGATCCATGATATCGGAATCAAAAAGAGAAGAAATATAAGAAAAATAAAAAGATAAGGTAAGATAAAATGGATAAGATAAAAAATAACATAAGGACATAAGATAGATAAAAGATAAAAGAGATAAAGGACATAAGAATAAATTAATAAAATAACTATCACCTATTCACCTCCCTCCAAAATCCCTCTACCACACAAGGGCTAAAAGGATCCCTCTTTTTGGTCCCAATCAGTCCAAGCTTTGTCTTGTGTCTTTTACAAGTGCAGACCAAGTGATTTGGGCTTACTGCCATGAAGCCTGTGCTAACTCTGCACTAGTTTGTATAACCAACCATCTACATTTATTGAAATTATAAAAGCACCAATTATTCAATCTGGTTGTATGGCGGGGTTCGCAGAGCACTAATTTTGCAAAACTTTGTTCCCTAGAGAGCTTATGGAGTAGTGAATCTATCAAATATGTAGTTGACAGCCCTTTCATGATGTTACTAGACTTCTCAATTTCTCATTGCTTTTGTAGATGGGAGAAACATCAAAGTGAGGAGGAAGCGGTTCTTGGGCGTGGTAAACGCCAGAGAAAGGCTGTTTCCTACAGGGAGGCATATGCTGCACACCACAGCGAAACATTCAGTGAGGTACTATGTTTTTTCTCTTGCATAAGTGCTTAATGTGCATTGGCAACTGCTAAGTGAGCATATGATTGGAGTTTTTTCTGCTATGTCGTAGCAGAGTTGGGCGGAAGAAGATCAGGACCTGAAGCTCGAGCCTGTGCCCGAGCCAGAGAAAGAGTATACTTCAGCAGGAAGGGCATTGAAGACGAAATAGTTAGTTCCATTTTCAAATTTCATTTTGAAACATTTTAAACCTTTGCTATAGAAAGGTGAAGTTAATTCCTGCATACTCACAAACCATATATATTTTTCTATGATATAAGGAGATGAAGTTTAACAACAATAGTAGCATATCTATTGAGTAAAAGGTATGATGACAAAAAAATAGCTCAGAATGTTGTGAAAAAACAGGGAAAAGGAAGCTTTCTCCTCCATACCTTGACATTTTATTTATTTATTTATTCCTTTCTTGAATTTCATAAACAGCTTCGCGAGATCTTCCCGAATTAAGGAACTAAAGATCGTCTTTTCTTTACAATCTCATGTATTTACTGTTGAAACAGTGCCAAGCTTCGTGCCAGACAAAAAGAAAGATTGGCTAGAAGACATGTCAGGGAGTGTTCTGCACCAATTGAAGGATCTACTGGAATCCAGTTCATTCAATCGCCGGCTCAGGATGTAAATCTAACACCGCTATCCATTCATCCCAGTGAAGATAATTCTTCAGCTGTATTCTTAGAAGGTACCAGTTGCAGACGGACTTCAGCCGGGCCAAAAAATAAGACAGATTCAACCACAGCGGCTATAAAATTAACGACGTGTAATTTGGGTGAACATCTTGGTCAACCTCTCCATGATTCTCAATTGAATCCAGTACAGGTCACAAGTTTTGTTAACTCTGAAGCCCACACTCCCCTTGTTATAGGGTTATGTGCTCCAAATGCGAACCAAATGGAATCATTACAGAAGAAGTTTTCAAGATTGTACAACAGAAAAAACAGGGCAAATTTGGGATCTGAGTTGGTGCCTGGTGTTGCTTCTTGTCCCGCAACATCAGATGAAATGGGAACTAAGGTTCACGAAAATCTATCTGTTAGATCTAAATTGTCAGACACACCACTTGATGTTTCCCAGTCTCGATCAAAGATTGGCATCCCTGAATTTTATCATCCATTTAATCCAGTATGTTCTCCTCCCTTCTCTCTCACTCACAGACATTGCAATCTATTTATTGGTCATATATGTGTTTTTGTTGCTCTTTTTTGCAGCATCATCTCATTTTCCAGCAAGGCAAAGGTTCTGCTGTTAATTTGGAGGGCCCTGCCTCTAGTTATGCAGCTTTTCATGAAAAAATGGGACTAACCAAACTACCTTTTGACGAACAATTGTTTCCCAGATATCCATTCCCTGCTGAGAATTTTCCCCATCCACACCCTGGCCTATTCCCTAGTTTGTCATTGGGATCAAGAGTTACTACAGATGTGAATGAGTCACATCATGATCACCCAATGATGCCAATGTTTCCAAATTTGAACTTTTCTATTCCTGATACATCAAGATGTAATAACCCACCAGAGTCAGAAGTGCCTCCGACACTAGGATTCGGTCAAATACCTCCCAAGTTGTCATCATCATTTCCTGAAAACCATAGGAAGGTTCTTGAGAATATCATGCTAAGAACTGGAGCAGGATCATCAGGAAATGTATTATCGAAAAAGAAAAGCAGAACGGATATTTGGTCTGAAGAAGAACTGGACAACCTCTGGATTGGGGTTCGTAGACATGGACGGGGCAACTGGGATGCCATGCTGCGTGATCTTAGGTTAAAATTTTCCAAGTTCAAAACAGTGGAAGATTTGTCGGTAAGATGGGAAGAGGAACAAACCAAAGTTTTGGATGTTGTACCATCATTACCCACTGGTAAGGGACTCAAACCACCTAAACCTGGGAAATCAAACACATTCCCTTGCATCCCTGATGGAATGATGACTAGGGCATTGCATGGAAGCAAGTTTTGTGGACCGTTGAAATTCCCGAACCAGCTTACTGACTTGAAATTGGGTTTCAGTGACTTGCCTCCAACCTTTTCTCATGCCGATCATCTCAGTCATATTTATCCTCTCCCAACATGGAATGCTGATAAGTACCCACCAAATGTTCCGGGAGACTTAAATGGATGGCCCTCAAAATTTCTCATGGAGTCTCCTTTGCTGCTGAGCTCTTTGGGTACAAGTAGTCTGGGACCTCTTGGCTCAAAAAATTGCACAGGCAGATTATCTCAGAAAGAAGGGGAAGAAAGTTCAAGTAGATTAGGGATGTTATCAAGCATTCTTGATCAATCACTGAATTTCTTGCATGAAAGTAACAATTTGAGGAATGGCGACTCAATTGGTTTTTCTATGCCTTCAGATGCCATCAATAAGAAGGGAAAACATGGCCTCTCTTCATTGAAAGGGAAAGAGGTAGCAGAATGTGGTTCGTCAAAGATTAAGCTCCCTCACTGGCTTCAAGAAGCAGTGAATGTTCCACCTCCAAAGTCTAGTGAACCTTTACTGCCTCCAGCTTTGTCTGCAATTTCACATTCGGTCCGCTTACTGTATGGAGATGGAAACCCTACAATTCCTCCCTTTACCGTGCCTGGTCCACTACCCTCACAACCACCGGATCCTCGACTGAGTTTAAAGAAGAAGAAAAAGAAACAGAGACCTCATATTCCCCCAGAGTTTTTACAAAGTTTAAAGGAGTCAGATGATGCCTCCCAAAGGGGCCTTCCTGCTGAGAAAAATGGTTCAACTTTTGTTCCTCAAGATCAACCGTCTTCCTTTGTGCTTTTGAATTCTGTTGCTAGTACATCTGAATCCAGTGTTATGTCTTTGATAAAACAGAATATTATGAACCCTTCATCCTTTTCAGCTGAGCCATCTCTTCCAAATATGACAACGGCTGATTTTTCTCCTTCACCAGAAGTGCTTCAATTGGCTGGCATGTCAGTTCTAAGTCCGAATATGATGAGCCCTTCATCATCGCCAGCTAATCCATCTCTGCATTTGATTGGTACGTCTTCCCGAAGTCAGCATGTTATGAAGCAATCTGTGCAAAACAGGACAACTGCTTGTGAATTAACTCCTTCCCCTGAAGTGCTTATATTGGCTACGTCCAGTATGGCCACTGATCCGAGGGATATCCGTGAAATCAAACATAAACTGAATATGCCACCTGAATTCATACAGAGTTTAAAGGAATCTGGTGATGCCTCCCAGAGGGGGGGCCTTCCTGGTGAGGAAAATGGTTTAACTTCTCAAGACCAATCTTCTCTTGTCCTTTTACAATCGCTTGCTAGTAGTGCCTCAGAACCTCCATCAATAGAACCCAACTTTGGTATGTCTTCCGTGAGTCAGAGTATGAACCCTTCATCCTTGCCAGCTGAGCCATCTCTGCCAGATACAATAAAACCTGGTGAATCGTTTCCTGATCCAATTTCTATTGATGAGGAAGCAAAGGATAAATCATCTGTGGAGGAGAAAGATTAAAGTGAGCGAAGCAGGACTTCTCAGTCAGATCCTGCCTGAGACAGGCAGCACATTGTGGATGTGGATAGAGATAGCGTCTTCAGAAGGCTGTTTCTGATCTTCTTGCTGCTGAATGAACCATGAATTAATGGTAGGTGTCCATTTTTTGTTGTTGAATGAAACTCTGCATGTAGTTAAGTTGCAGAGACTCGTCCGAACTCTCAATTTTTGTAGAGGATAATGCAATTGCACAGACTGTTTTAAGTGTAGTGTAGTTAGACCAACTTGTAATGTAAAGCTTCTGTAAGAGAAATGAAATATAGGATGGTGTAAAAGATAGTGGTGTTACTTGGAAGAGAGATCTAAATTAGCCTCTTGTTACGAAGAATCTCCAGAATAGGAATATTAATTCCCATTCAAGCAATTGTTAGAAATATCCGAGTTATTATAGAAAGCAGATATGGATGATTTCTTTCTGGATATATCAAAGATATTTTCGATATTATTTGTAAACGTATCAAGAATTTAAGGTTGCTTTTGGTGTTGAATAATACTACTATAATCTTCTGGTAATCTGTACGATTTCCGTTGAGAATGAACAGATTATTGCACACAAGTACAACATATTTTATTTTTAATAATATTTCATCTATGAATACGTAAAAACTCTTACTTGTATCTTTTCATTTTTTATTCCATACTTCCTCTCATACTATGTATACTTTATTTACACTGTTCACTATCACTAATACTTAACACTTGAATTCCGTGAAAACTTTATAGTTATTCACTTATTTGCTCTATGCCATCTTTTTTCCACATATATTTTTTGGTAGTCTTTAACTGTAAAATTTAATATTGACGCAATTTAGGATTTTAGGTGATAATTTACTTGATTGATAAATAAATAAAATAATAGTAATAGAAATAATAATAATACTACTACTAATAATTATAATTATAATATGGCAGCGCAAAAATAGGAATAAAACCCTAAATCCTAAAAGCAAATGAGCTGGACAAATGAAATACTCCGCATAAGAAAAGGCTCATCACTTGTGTGCAATCAACGAGTAGTATTTCCCGTTTTGAAAAGAAACTCACTACAAAAGAAGCTATAGTACTACTACAATATTATTATAGTACCGCTTTGGTACCAAAAATCTCTTGTTTTTATAAATTCTATAGTAATTACCTTAAAGTCTTAAACTACGTAAAAAAGCAAATGATACGGATAAAGTGATATGGAGGGAGTTTATTTATAATGCATGTGCAATTTATTATAATCCAAATGTGTAGGAGGAATGTACATCAGCTAGGAGGAAGTAGGAAGAGCTAATCTACTAATACAATTGAGTTAAAGTAACATGACCTTGCAAGTGAGAGTCCAAGTGATGTCGCTGAGATGTATGATGATATAAGGACACAAATTGTGAGTGAGTCCGGTTGGTCTTGAGTTTGCACAAATGTAGCACGTAGTTGGTTGTTGTGGTTTAGTTCGCGTGCAAAATGAAAGTCAATGATTTCATGTTTCACGTGGTCAGGGTGGAGCCAGGGCAGGTACAAAGAATATTTTTGGAGAATTTTTTATAGCAATCTTTTACCTTAAAAATTTAGACATTGTTTAAATTTGGTGGGACGGGACCTAGATTGGTCACCCTAGATTCTTACCTGCACGTGGTTATGACAATTTGAATTTGCAATACTGGGACCGAGATTGCCATAGTAGTAGATGATGGGAGGGCTCTTAGATGGAATGTGAAGTTCTCCAATGGGATCACACAACCAAATAAATTATGTTGTGGTAGGTTAATGTGGCAATACTCCGATTAATGGGGTCGCAACCGAAGAACACGAGATTGATCGATGTTAGTGTCTCCCCAACCCAGTCAATGACAATAAAACATTATAAGTTCTGCAAATCTTTTAAAGAGAACTGAGAGGCTAGTGCTATAATAATATGGCGGAACTAGGGATGGACCCGGGCCGGTCCAGTTCCGGTTCCGGGCCGGGCCCGGGCAGACTTTTTTTCCAGATTGTTGGGCCCGGAACCGGCCCGGGTTGATACCGGGTTCGGGCCGGGTCCGGGTCTATGTAATATATATATTTTTTGCTTTCTAATTATCCCCCGACCCCCCCCCCCCTCACCCCCACCCCTCAAACCTCTCCAAAACACCCAGCCCTACTCAAGGAAAAGAAAAAAAATTGAAAAAACAAAAAAAAAAAGAACCAGGCCCGCCCCGAACCGCCCGGGCCAGTTCAACTAAAAGAGGGCCCGAGCCCGGCCCGTCAGGCCCGCCCACACGGGCTAAAAGCCCGGAATCGGCCATCCGGTCCCGGTCCCGGTCCGGTCCGGGCCTGCACAGTAGCGGACCGGTCCAGTTCACGGGCCGGTTTGGCCCGGTTCGGTCCATCCCTAGGCGGAACCGTGAACAATTAGAACACTGAAAGGAAAGAAAACATCATAATTGTTATTGATAAATTTAGTGTTAAGCAAGTGCGTCCAAAGTTCATAATACCAAACACGATCGAGGTATTTGTCATAGGCCATACCAAGCTATAGCCTATATGGAGGAGGTATACATGAAGTGGTTAAGGGAGGGTTAGCAAATGCTTTTGCTTAAAACAACATTTTTTGAAGTGATTTCTGAAAAAAATTGATGAATAGTAAAAGTTGATAGTGTTTAAGAAAAAAATGATTTTGAAAAGTAAAAGTTTGAGTGTTTGGTAAATAAGTGCTTTTTTGTAATAGAAAAAGTAAAAAACACTTTTCATCCAAAAGCCAAGAAACGCTTTTAAGTAGAAGTTGTCACTTGAAAACACTAATTTTAGCTTTTTTAAGCCAAAAGCCGAGAAACGCTTTTTTAAACTATTGCAAACACTCCCTCAGTTGGGTTGACACCCCCCGGTGGTGGATACATGCACACCTTACATGTTAAATAAAAGTATTAACACAATAGTAAGTCATAATACTCTTTAGCTCTAGGGCGTCTAACTTCGCTTATTTTTCTAATATATATATATGTAAAAAGTTGACTGTTTGATTTAGTTCGGTTTGGAATACAAGCTATTAGGACTAATTAATACTAAAAGTCACGGGCTTTTTTCAGATGCTACTCCCTGTAACATCTCAAAAAAGATCTTTTAATTTTTGAAAAACTCTTAAAATTGTCATGCCAAACATATAACTAGAAGCTTTTAGAGACTTTTTGAATAGTACAAAAGCTAGAAGGTAGAGACTTATGCTTGCTAAACATAGCCAAAAACTATACATGTTTGTATATATTCTTCAACTTTATTATTAGTTAATACTACATCCATCTCATATTAAATGTTTTGTTTTAGTTTGACACAATTATTAATAATGGTTGAAAAATAAAAGTTAGAACTGAAGTTTGAATAGAACAAAGTGAAATGATATGGATCATATATTTCTTGCCAAGAAAGAAAACATAACATTCATTTTTGGCCAATTCGAATAGGAAATTAAAGTAAGACAACCAATATGAGACGAATGAAGTATTTATTACACAATGAAGTTAAGTGAATAGTTATAAAGTATAATACTATATTATTAAATGTGATAACTTTTATCAATCATGCATGTTAATTAATGTGAAAGTGTGTATTTTGTATATATACTAGATGAAGTACCCGTGCGATGCACGTGATATATCTAGAATATAATACGGAGTACATTAACATATTATTTAAAATTATATTTTGTTAAGATGATACATATTATGTAATTTTGCTAAATAAAAAAGACAATAGCTTTTATACGGAGTATATTGTAACTTTGATTATATCATAGAAGTTGCAAGCAAATGAAAATTTGGATTGTATGAAAAAATGCAAGTAAAATTAAAATTAAAATTAATGATAAAGTGTAAAAGTAAGCTCTATGTTACAATGAAATGACATTGTAATACAATTATTAGTGGGTCACATGAAACTTTATAAAAAAGAATAATCATATATCTTCATAATATTCAAAAAGTATCATAAATTTTCAAAAAAATCATTTAGGCCACTGGTCTTGATAGCATGACCCTCATCATCAAATATATGAATCCTTAACCCACCCATTGAGGTGACACTTTACATGACAACACACAATTGACCATGCGTAAAAATGGAATTTAGATGTATATCCACTTGTACAGACATTATCTTTGATTGTTTTTTATGTCATGGACTCGTGGGAAATGAAACAATGATTGAGGATTTCCAGCGTTAAAATTTAAAAAAACTCTGTCATATGACGGGACCAATGATAACTGTGAAATAAAAAGTGTTTGACCAATACTTTTGCCGGATATAATATTCACCTCCAAAACACATTTACTATTAGCCGCGTGAGCGAGAAATCATATTAGGTGCAAACTTTCATTTATCAAACTCTGTTTTGGTGCAAAAAATTGTTCCAAGTTTGCAACATTTAATAAAGTGCAAGGATAAACATATTAGATGGTTTACAAATAAATACAAAGTAAATGTTCATTTATATTATTAAGATGTATATAATTCATACAAATATTAAAAACACTATGCCAATAAGAGGTTGCATCTAATTTACTCAAAAAGTGGAGAACAATCATATGTTAATGTATTTTTTGTGGTTTCAATCAAGCCTAAACAATTCACATTGAATAAAGGGGTGCAAATACAAAAAATATTTAAAATTTGGTTGTGGTCTAATTCCATAGTAAAATATAATTATTCAAATTTATATTAACATGATAATTCCATTGGTATGCGTTGTGACATTTTAGTTATTACTGTTGTGGTTTAGGATGTTTTAAATTTGATAAAAAAAATATGGTCTAGTCTGGTCTGGTCTTAAGTGATTTGGTAAATGTCATATTTTTGTGTATTTTTGCAATTATCGAAGTATGGTTTAATATAGTCTATTTGACTCTAGTCTAATCTGAGGTTGAACGTTATATCTTTTTCTTTTCAATTCAATTGTTTTCAAACACTACCGAATTTTATTATTAATCTCTTCTCACCTAATATTTAAAATAAACCACCTATGAAAAAAAGAAGCAAAATCAAAACTTTTGTGGTGGGATGAGCCCGTTTGGTGACACATATAATATGTATATATATATAGATATGCATAACTTAACATGTATACATATTTATATAAAATAAATAGCTTATATAAGAACAATATTACACACTTCATCAGATTTAGCATTCTATATAATTCTGTATGATTTTTCCCTCTTTGCTAATTATATCTTTTATAGCACAACGTAATAGATTTGGACTGGATTTCATCTAGATGCATTGTTCTTACCGGGATTGTTAATGAAAGGCGGAAAATTAAGTATATATACAGATTTTGAGGATGGAAATTGAAATTTTGTTGCTATCTATATAAGCAATTAAATTATTTAGGTTTTAGAAACTTAAAATTGCTTCAATGGTATTCTCTCCGTTCCCCTATGATTGTCCCATTTTTTTCATTTTGGGATGTCCCCCTATTATTGTCTTATACCGTATTTGATAACATTTGTGTGATCACTTTAATTCATTCTTACTTTATTCACACTTTATCAACTCATTATCAATCACGTAATTATATTTTTCTTAAAAACCACATCACTCTCTTCCGTCCAAATATTAGGGGTCAGAGGTAGTACTATTTTTGGACAAAATTTGGACAGAATAATTTAGGCACATTTATGCAATGGGAGAGAATATGGATTATTTAGATTTTAACAACCTAAAGTAGTTGTACTTGCTTTTTTTATAGTTTAGGTGTAATTACCTATACATACATAACATATACAACATATATTTCATACAAGGCAGTATTTTTCTTTTTCTTTTTGTGGTTAATATAAGCAATTTGAAAAGTTGACATATATAATCTAGTCAAACCATAATGCATTTAGAGCATCTTCAATGCTACAATGCGCACGGTGCACATGTGCCAAGAAAGAGATAGACACAAAATTTTGATTTTATGACATTTCTCTCTCATTCTTTTCACAGACTTGTATGTTTTAGGTAAATTTTTCTCTACAATGTCAATCACAATGTCTACATGTAGACATTGTGCTTGACATTGTGAAAAAAAACTTACCAAAATGGTCTAAGTTCCTTTAAATAAGGAGAGAGATATTCTATTTATTGTTTTCTAATTGACTACCTCTAATGACACGTATGCAGCGTTAACGTTTTAGCATTGGAGACGCTCTTATACGCACAATGCATATATGTCAACTTCAAATGTGGACATAAATAAATGATGGGTGTGTCTTCCTTCTTTCCAAAAATCATTAAACAATATAATACTTTTTTGATTGGTGATCGTAAATTTCAATAGCAGGTTAGCGAATCTAATATCTTGATTGCATATTTACTTACACTATTTTGATTTTTAGTTAATTTGTTCAATACACTTTTTATAGTAGGTTGGCAGTTTAGCAGGTTAGCGAATCCTATTATCCCTATTACTTGTACTGAAATTTGCTGGCCTGGTCTAGTATGAACTGGTCTGGTCTGGTTTGATTTCTTTGTATTTTTATAACCATCCAAGTCTGGTTTGGTCTGAACTGGTCTGGTCTGGTCTGAACTGATCTGGTCTGGGAGGAATTACAGTCCAAGTAAAAACATCCTAAATGCTTCATCATATATTTCATTTCCTTATATGCATGTATGCTCTACTGTACCATTTCTCCCTTGGGCGGCATTTTTAGGTTCAACATTAATTTCCAATTATGGTTATGTTTGGCACACATAAGTCTATGCCTTCTAGCTTTTGTACTATTTAAAAAGTCTTTAAAAACTTCTAGTTGTATGTTTGGTACGACAATTGTTAAGAGCTTTTCAAAAAATAAAAGATCTTTTTTGAAATGCTATGTGGAGTAGCATCTGAGAAAAGTTTGTGGCTTGTAGCAGTAATTAGTCTCAACAGCTTGTATACCAAACAGAACTAAACCATACAGTTAGTTTTTTACCAAACAACTACCACCTTTTACTTTAAAGATCTTTTCAGTCACTAAAAGCTAACAGTTACTAAAAGGACTATAAAAGTATCTTTTCAGCTAGTTGTGCCAACCATACCCTATGTCTTTTTTTGGGCGGGGATATTCCCTCCAATGGTTGTAGCAACACTGTTACTTTATATTATATAAAGATAAAGATAAAGATAAAAATATATAACAATAAACATCACTATTATTATTATTATTATTATTATTATTATTATTATTATTATTATTATTATTATTATTATTATTATTATTATTATTATTATTTTTATTATTATTATTATTATTATTATTATTATTATTATTACTATTATTAGTATTATTATTATCATTATTACTATTATTAGTATTATTATTATTATTATTATTATTATTATTATTATTAATATTATTACTATTATTACTATTATTACTATTATTACTATTATTATTATTATTATTATTATTATTATTATTATTATTATAATAATAATAATTATTATTATTATTATTATTATTACTACTACTACTACTACTACTACTACTATTATTACTATTATTACTATTATTACTATTATTACTATTACCACTATTATTATTATTATTACTACTATTACTACTATTATTACTACTATTACTACTATTATTATTATTATTATTATTATTATTATTATTATTATTATTTGTAATTACTGGGGCAGTACGGCAAATACGTACTTTCTACGATCTTAAGTTAATCTTTTTAAGGAAAAAATTATTTAAAATTTTAAATATAACAAATATGTATTTTTTATACTCTTAAATTAACTTTCTATTTATTTGGGCGCACTTTTATTGAAGTGGGCGGCGCAGTACATACTTTCTATTTTGCAAATGATTTGAGTTGATAAATTTGGTTATTAAATATTTAATACTCAATCAATTTGGCTGTTCATGTTAGTTTTATAAGTTAATACTACCTTCCTCCCATTTTATGTATCTTTGGTTTTGGCATAAATTTTAATAGAGTGGTTGAAAAAGTCAACGTTGTGATTGAGATTTGAGTATATTAAAGTGAAATGCTGTGAATCACATACTCCGTATTTCTTTCTATAAAGAAAAATGTGACACTTATTTTGGGACAATACAAAAAGAAAATTAAGACAACTAAAATGTGGTGTTACATTATATATAGTACTTAAACTAGACAAAATCAAAGTAACTAAAAAAGTTACTAATGTAATCACTAATATATACGAAGTATGTAAGATGCAATGTCACACTTTTAGTCAACATCTTAATTTTAGTAATATAGATGTTATTATTATTAAATTGTTATATTATGATTATTTTGGCCGGTGTCATTTTGAATTGAAATGCTATAGAAATACAACATAAATCAATTGTTTTCATTAGTATTTTTATTTATATTTCCTGTAATTTAGAAATGGATAATTAAACAATAAATGTTTATCATAAAGTGTGTGATTTGAAAATAATAAAGGAAAATACTCAATGTTTGTAACGTTTTACACATATGATGTGAAGATGGTTAGTTCATTCCTTATATACGTATATAATTAATTTGAGGCATATATATGGGCAATAGATGTTCTACTAATGTAAAGATTATTTAAGGCACATAAATGAGATCATTTGACCATACGTAGTATATATTTCAGGGCCTACAAATTACATTTTTACCCATTTTTGGGCGGCAATTTTGCCTCCAAACAATGTAGCAAACTTTGCTACTTTATATTTTATAAATATTATTTGTAATTACTGGGGCAGTACGGCAAATACGTACTTTCTACGATCTTAAGTTAATCTTTTTAAGGAAACAATTATTTAAAATTTTAAATATAACAAATATGTATTTTTTATACTCTTAAATTAACTTTCTATTTATTTGGGCACACTTTTATTGAAGTGGGCGCGCAGTACGTACTTTCTATTTTGCAAACGATTTGAGTTGATAAATTTGGTTATTAAATATTTAATACTCAATCAATTTGGCTGTTCATGTTAGCTTTATAAGTTAATACTACCTTCCTCCCATTTTATGTATCTTTGGTTTTGACATAAATTTTAATAGAGTGGTTGAAAAAGTCAACGTTGTGATTGAGATTTGAGTATAATAAAGTGAAATGTTGTGAATCACATACTCCGTATTTCTTTCTATAAAGGAAAATGTGACACTTATTTTGAGATAATCCAAAAAGAAATCTAAGACAATTAAAATGTGGTGTTACATTATATATAGTACTTAAATTAGACAAAATCAAAGTAACTAAAAAAGTTACTAATATAATCACTAATATATACGAAGTATGTAAGATGCAATGTCACACTTTTATTCAACATCTTAATTTTAGTAATATAGATGTTATTATTATTAAATTATTATATTATGATTATTTTGGTCGGTATCATTTTGAATTGAAATGCTATAGAAATACAACGTAAATCAATTGTTTTCATTAGTATTTTTATTTATATTTCCTGTAATTTAGAAATGCATAATTAAACAATAAATGTTTATAATAAAGTGTGTGATTTGAAAATAAAGGAAAATACTCAACGTTTGTAACGTTTTACACATATGATGTGAAGATGGTTAGTTCATTCCTTATATAGCGTATATAATTAATTTGAGGCATATATATGGGCAATATATGTTCTACTAATGTAAAGATTATTTAAGGCACATAAATGAGATCATTTGACCATACATAGTATATATTTCAGGGCCTACAAATTACATTTTTACCCATTTTTGGGTGGCAATTTTGCCTCCAAAAAATGTAGCAAACTTTGCTACTTTATATTATATAAAGATATACACAAACACACAATTACTCATCATTTCTATGCAAAAAGTATTGGGGAGGAGGGGGTTGTCCATTAATATTACTAAAATAGAGCATTTGGACAAAAAAGAGACATTTTCTTTAGATGTAGCTCTAGACACTAGGTACTGGGCTGACGTCCAACTAGCGCGTCTTAGAACATTGACTGAAGTATTGCCTTTTTATAGTAGCATCCCTCTTCTTTAATACTACCCTCGTGCCTTTAAGATTGAGAAAATGTAGTGTGATATTGTTTTTTATAAAAGTAGAATTATATAATTGTATTGAATTGATAAAATGTAAATAAAGTCGAAATGAATTAGAACTTATTTTATTATTTCAGAGTTACATTCAAGGTGTGCCATAGGCCCAAAAAATAAAAAAGATTTAGATTTAGTACGTTTCCTTCAGCCTAATTTAATCCGGCCCAATGGCTCGAGAATAAGAAAAGCGGGAGGAATTCATCGCTAAAGAACCAATACGGCCCAAAGAGTAAGGAATATCTAATACGGAGTAGTTATTCAGTAAGCTCAGCTGCTTAGGAACGCTGGAAGTCTGGGACCGCCGAACAGAAATCAGCCGACTTGCCGAGCAGTCTTCTGGTGCGCTCTACGGCCTGCACCGCCGCACCGGAACTCTGGCAGCCAGCTCTCTGACCTTCTGTGGACGGTGAACCTGCGATTCTGCCCAGCCCCTTCGGCCCTTGCAGCTATTCTCACCTTCTGGTACTCCTCCAACTATTTTATTGATTAGTTCATAGACCATACGCAGTACAAATTTGTTGGGTGTTGATTTTTTCTGTGACAAATCAAATTAATGGATTATTAGTTTAATTTATCCTCAACTATAATCAAATTCACAAATCTATCCTATTCTCACAATTACACTTTCAATGGATTAATTATTAGATATTGAAGAAGAAAAACTTATTTGTATTTCAATTTTTTCATTCATGTCTAACTTTAAGTTGGAGAACTCGTATTGCTTAATATTTTTTACAAAACCATATTTCTACTATACATTTAAAAGATTACAATTGGTGAAATTTATATTACTTGTAATATATCACATTATAGTGGATAACATATGATGATATGAAGATAACTAGAAAGATGAAGTTGCAACATACAACTATTAAAAAAAGTTCAAAATTTTCTTGGTAACAAATAATTGTATTAACCAATAAATATTAGTGATTAAATTACTTTAGCAACTTCTATTAAAACATAAATATATGAACTGGTTAATTCACTCACAAGTTAGAGTATCATTTTATATTAATTTTATAAATTCTGTTAGAAAATTTTAAGTTATAGATGATTATATAAGATTAATTATTTAAGATTTCATTAAAGTTCTTGCTAATTCTTGGGAAAAAATAGAATTAAATAAGTAATAAAAATTACATAATTTAATTCAAGTATATAAAAATTATTGAGATTGATATAAATCTGTAATTTTGAAAAATCACAACGAGAAAGTGTAATTGTTATAAAAGATGAAGTTTGATCCTTTTTAAATAAAAGTTAAATAATAGGATAGATTTGTGAATTTCATGGTAGTTAGGGATATAATAAGCTAATAAACCTTATTTAATTCATACTCCATAGTTTTTAATGTTTCTTCAGTTCTTTTTGCGGGAAATTTGTCTAAAGATACTTCATTCTTGTATAGACAAGTAGTCCGGTTGTTGGGTCTTGGCCCATTGTGCGCTGCCATTATCAGAAATAGTTCATACTCAACTCTAACATGCTCGGTCTGACTTCAACCTCCACTGCCTCCCCATCAGTCAACACTTTCTCCCGTACCACCCACGGACACTTTTTCTCCACCACTCTACATCCATTGTCTGGGAGAAGTTACCGTTTCTTCAACTTTCAACAGGTATTCTACATCTGTGAAACAATAATTTGCTTTTGCTAATTACCTTCATGCATAGTGTATGCATATTTAAAACAATTGTTTGCCCCTATCAGCCCATAACAACTTCGTATAAGCTAACTTTGCAATCAATCAAAGCCATGGCTGAAGCTCTTGCTACTCTGAATCCTGAGTCCATATCCTCTACTTCTGGTATGCATGTCTACTCTAATCTATTTTTCTATCGTCTGTTTCTATACTAGTGCATATATACATGTTCCAAGTAAACCTGACTACCTATTAGAGTATAATAGCTGTTTATTTATTTTTTATATTTAGGGAGAAGGCAAGCTTTGATATCACTTTCAGACAAGAAGGATCTGTCTATGCTTGGAAATGGATTACAAGAATTAGGGTAAGTATATTTTCTTATTTAAGTAGTTTCCCCGGCTCACTGTCAACAGCCTGCTACATAACTTTCTCTTCACTTGAAAGAGGTTAATGGCTATCACATTGATTGAAAAGTTTATTTTGCCATGCAATTGCATTTGTCTCGCTCATTTATCAATGTCATCTTAAGTGTTCTAGTATTCCATTAATATCATCCCTTCTAATTATTTCCATTATTTAATTTGCTAATTACTGCAAAAATATATGATGGTGATATGTTAATTAGATGAAAGAGGTTAGTAGCTAAGACATCGATTAGAAAGTCTATGATGCAATGCAAGTGCATTTGTCTCACTCATTCTTTAAGTCATCTTAAGTGCTCCACTATTCCATGTATATTATCCCTGATTCCCTTCTAATGACTTCTATTATTTAAATTGGTAATTACTTAAAAAATATACAAGTATGTGAATATGTGATGGTAACATACAAAAACATGAATATGTGAATACATGATGGTGATATGGCGACATTTTAATTTTCTGTATAAGGTGTTCATTTGGATGGTCTTAAATATCTTTTATTTCTGAAATGCTTTTAGGTACACAATTGTTTCTACAGGAGGAACTGCTACTGCACTTGAGGTTGCTGGGGTTTCTGTGACCAAAGTAGAAGAGCTTACACATTTTCCGGAAATGGTATTATATATTGAACAGTACGAAATCATAGAATTTGCTAGAGTGATATGATGCAAAAGGAATTAGATGTTTTCCAGTCTTTAATTTAGTTAAGCTTGCTTTTGGAAGCATATTGACTTGCTTGCACTTATCACTACTTGAACTCCCTTCATGTTCTTTTAGCAAAATCTTGTGTAAAAAAGTTTCTTTTGCTATTGCTAGTTATTTATTTAAATTAGTTCTTATGTGTGTGTGTTTATATTTTCTAATATTTTATACTTTTTAGTATATTTTATTACTTCTTACTCCTTAAAGAAAAATATGCATATTGTCTCCTGTTTTTTTGTTGTTTTTCCTGCACTCCTTACTGCTTTGTTGAGACCAAGGCTAGGGCAGACTGCCTTCCTGCATTCCTGAAGTACTTTGATGGTTATTCTTCTTCTTTTTAGTATAACTACCTAAGTTAGAAATCTTTTCTGTATTAGAAAATATGAATGTACAAAAAATTGTGGCAGTACTGGTACATAATTAATTTCTGTTTCTCTTTTCGGCTACTTCATCTTTCTTGCAAATTTGGCAGCACAGAAATGATCAGTTGTGTCTCTTATAGGTGATTCTTTAGAAAAAGTATTGCTGTCTCACCGTGAGATGCTCTCACCCAAGCTTTTTTTTTTGTTTTTAGCTTGATGGCCGTGTAAAAACTTTGCATCCTACCATTCATGGGGGTATTTTGGCTAGAAGAGATCAGGACCATCATATGGAATCCCTTGATAAGCATGGAATTGGTAAACAAAACTTTTGTTTATGATTCATTCAACTTACTTAGACTAAAATATCTATGAAAAAAATGTTGTGGATACCACATTTATTGTATGAATACAATCCAGTAATTGTTCGTCAGAACCATTCTTTCTCAGGAACATTTGATGTTGTAGTGGTCAACTTGTATCCATTCTATGAGAAAGTTTCTTCCTCCACCAGAATTTCATTTGAAGATGGAATTGAGAACATTGACATTGGAGGACCTGCTATGATTAGAGCTGCTGCAAAGGTTGTTGAGACCACTCTATATTGCTCGATGATAAGTTTGTTATTCCGATTCAAGTTAGTCTTTTACTTCTGTGTGGGTGGGTGCTTGCCTGCTGCATTTTAGTAAGCATCTTACCATCCGCAAGACTAGAGTACCCTTGATGTTATTAGCTTACATGTGTTTGGTTTAATATGATATTGGGTAGTATTGCATGTGCTATTATGCGTTTGCTATATTTCTTATTATCAATCCATAGAACCTCAGGGGACATAGAATAAATGGAAAGGTCTTCGTGCACAAGTTTGATAAAACATCGTCCTTTTTTCTCAGTCATCTGATATATGGACTATTTGTATTCTTTGATATTTCAATCTCCTAAGGTTTCAAGGAATATTACTAAATTAGATTAGGCCTGATGCAAACAGAACCATAAGGATGTTCTGGTTGTGGTTGATTCTGGTGACTATCCTGAACTCATGCAATTTCTTCAAGCAAATTCGGATGACCAACAGTTCAGAAGAAAGTTAGCTTGGAAAGCTTTTCAGCACGTTGCTTCGTACGATTCTGCAGTTTCTGAATGGTTGTGGAAGCAGACCGGTGGAGGTATTTGCTTGATATTGATTATTTTGATACATGTTTTGTTGATCAGGGTAACAATTGAATATCAAATTTTCAAAGTTTTCAATAAGATGACTTGTTTATGCTTAGAAGAAAATTTTAACATAATTTATATTTTGTTCAATGCTCGTCAACATTGAAGAGAAGCATTAGAAGCTGAATCAGCTTTGGCTGATATCTAATTTATGTCAATTGGCAGCTTGATACATATGAGAACTAATATTTTTCAGAATTTAGAAATTATATACGTTGTAAGTTGTAACAACACCTCAAGTAACCAGATACCACCAAATAAAATAGTAATCTAAATAAATACTCCATATAATAAGTTAAATAGTGAAAACACAATCCCAGGCTCTCCAGCCTTAATCCCAATTAAATGGGGCACTGATATCTAATTTATGTTAAAAAAGTGATTGGCAGCTTGGCAAATATGAGAAGTAATATGTTTCAGAATTTAAATATTTTATACTCTGTGACAACACCTCAAGTAACCAGTCACCACCAAATAAAATTAAAAATGTTAAAGTAAATACTCCATATAAGCTAAATAATGACAACATCCCAGCCTGAATCCCAACCCAAAGGGGTTGGCTGCATGAACCAGTATAAGCCCAACCTTTGTAATGACCCTATTTACACCTTTAGTTCAAGTCATTTCCCCCGACTCCTCATCAAGTCTTCTACACTTGAAAACTCAACTCTGCGTAACAGAGAAGCTGTTTTTTTTACAGTGACATACCGAAATGTCCCAATCAACGCAACCAGCTCTCTTTAATCTTCAATAACGGCTAAACCCAACTTCCTGTGAATTTCCTCGTTGCACACTTTATCATTTCTAGTCTTACCACACTTCAGTGTACCATATGTATATAGTTATATATGTCATGTCGTCATTGTCTGATCTTCACTGTCCACCTTTAAGATCCGCATAATCAATCGGTCTTATAGCAGTCCTATTAAATTTTCCCTTCCATTTTAGTGGTAGATGTTCACCACATAGTACTCATGTTGTTCCTTCTCATTTCAGCCACCCTGTATTAGTTTAATGTGTCACAGCTGTGTCAATATCTCCATTTCTTCATATAATAGATCCCGAGTACTCGAACAACCACTTAATATTCTTCTTTCCCATGCAATTTATTTCTTTGCTTTTTAACTTCAGTACTAAATATGCACTACAAATAATCTTATACTCCGTTCCACTTCAACATTTCTTAAATTCTTTTGCTTTATACTTTTAAACAAAAAAATAGAAATCCCAAATAAATGTAAAAGTAATAAAATATGAAGAAAAGAAAAGAACTAGACTCAAACAAAACATTGCAAGTTTACTATGATCTGTGTAAGTAATGAGTTTTTTGTTGCCTTTTTGAAAGATAATTTCCCCCCTGGCTTTACGGTGCCTCTATCGCTAAAAAGCTCACTTCGCTATGGTGAAAACCCTCATCAGAAGGCTGCCTTCTATGTTGATAAATCACTGTCTGAGGTTAATGCTGGTGGTATTGCAACTGCCGTTCAACACCATGGCAAGGTAATCTGTTAACCTATGCAGTGTCTATTATACAGTCATTTGATTCCTTTACTTTGTAGTGATATTTATTGATTTTAAAGCCACATTTAAATGTCTTCAATTTTTGCATAATGCTCACTCAGCTTCTATTTAAGAAATAATGGAATTCACTTTTGTTTATCAAAGTAGATTTATTTTTTCATTCACAATTGTCCCTCTTGCAAACTCCATAACACATTTCCTGTAAAATGTTTAAATTTATAATAGAAAAGTGATCAATATTTTAAATTCTTTTGAAAATCATTTCCTTTCATGGTCTTTGTGAAAGCATTGTTTCAAATTGCGCAATGCAATAGCGCAATGAGGCGTGATAGAGACCTAAGAATATTATTAAGTCTTAATATTTTGTAATAAAAGGGGTGTAGGCCTTATAACTAAGTGGAGGTGGGCTGGCCCATGAGTGAATGAATAAATAAGGCAGGCTGGGAATAGAAGAAAGAGGGTGGTTGGAATTATCGGGCTTGGGACTCAGGACTGGGAGTCGGAAACGACTTGGGAATTGTATTCTTGTCTCTCGGTTAAACAATGAACTTTTGTTTTTGATCTTCATCGCCATTTTTGAGCTCAGAATTACTGTTGAATTACCGATAACCTAACATTGGTATCAGAGCACCGTTTCTGACACATGTCCATGGTTGCGACGTGTAGAACGATGGAAGGAAAATTGGACAGTTTCGAACGCGAGCTGGAACATCATCGCGAAGAGTTGCGGCATGAGATGGCTGAGTTGCGCGCACTGTTGATAAAGCAGAACGACGGACATGAGCGAGGAAGGTCAAGAACCTCAACTCGCGACAAACGACATGACAGTCCAACGCAATCATACTCCAGAGAGAACATGGAGCGGGAGAAGAATTGCGAAGGGGCCAGACGCACTAACGAAGAGTTACGCGAATTAATTCTGCAGAGGAATGAACGCCACTCAAGCGGAAGGTCCAAAACAACAAAGCGAAGCAAGAGACTGGACAGTAGTGAATCTTCTTCGTCTTCTTCAGAGCAATCGACGCCTGGAACCATGGAGACGCGCTATGGTTTACGTGAAGAACATCGATGGTCAGAACTGTCCGCATCTGGTTTGCTCAAATTGGAACGAAACAGAGAGAAGGTGGGGAAGAATCGCGATGAAGCACGGAAGACTAGCGATGATGGGTGGAAGACTCGCGATGAAGTCGGAGCTAGGTCAAAGACAGAGGAATTACCTCTATTCCACAAGGTTGAAGCGTACACATGGATAGGGAGGATGGAAAGATATTTCCGAGTCCAAACTATTGCAGAAAGATTTAAAGTAGACATTGCAGCAAAGGCAATGGGGGAAGCTGCAGATGGCTGGTTTCAATGGTGGGACTTTCAAAAGAGAGAAGATAGTTGGGAGGCTTTAAAAGAAGATTTGATTAGGGATTTTCCACCTAGACACCGGCAGAAGACAGGGAAGACAGCAAAACCAGAGTCATCGAGGTCTTCGCATATCTCTTCGCATCATTCTTCTCATAGCTCTTCGCATTACCATTCTAAAAAATGGTTGCAAGTAGAAAACCCCAACTCGCAATCACCAGATTCTTCACTATCAGGATTGATGAGTTCACAAGTTTCTCAACCTGCGAAAGAATTGCCCCAGTCAATAAATAAAACTGAGACGGAGCCAACGGAATCTGTAATCAAGAAACTGAATAAGAAGGACGAAACCGAGGAGCAAGGAGAGATTATCCAATGGCCAGAAAATTCATGCATTGGTAAAAAGAGACCTGGTACAATGGCAATTAGTCCAAAGTGGGAAGAAGCAGGCACCTCTAATATGCAGCTGACTTCCATGAACAAAGAAGGAATCACAGCCCCTAAGACTTTCAGAGTGAAAGGGAAATTAACAAGTGGCAGAAGGACTAAAGATATTATCATTCTAATTGATTGTGGGGCTACTCACAATTTTATATCTCAAAGGGTAGCTCAAACAGCAGGAGTATCTATCCACCAGCTCCCAGAATATAAAAGGGAAATAGGAAATGGGGACCTAATCAGAAATGATGGGAGATGTGAAGCTGTTTCTATTAACATACAACAGACTAACATCATTCAAGACTTCTATGTCTTAGAATTGGGAGACATAGAGATGGTTTTGGGATTAGAATGGTTATCTGGATTGGGAACTGTTGAATTTAATTTCAACCAGCTCACTATTAAGTGGAGGGAAAATGGAAGAGTCAGGAAGCTTCAGGGAGATGCCCATCTAAGCAGACACCAAGTTCCTCTCAAATCTATCACTGCAAAGATTCAAGCAAATGAAGAAGAATTCTGCTTGCTCAAATCTGCAATGATTGAAACGGAGATGGAAAAGGAGACAGCCAATCCATGGAAGAAGGAAGGGTTCACAGATATTGCTGATAGGTTCACTCTCGAATACCAGTGTAATACAATCCAAGTAGACCTGGACTTTATGAATCAAGCTGTGGAAAGGTTAAAGAGGCTGATTGAGCAAACAGTTGAGAAGCATGAGGAAAATTTTGGTAAGCGGGTTGTTGTTGCTCTCTATGAGGCAGCATGTTGTGCCCTGGCCTCCATAGAATATGAAAGGATCAAGTTTGTTCCTGGGAAGATGTTGATACAACTGGAGAGGCAGAGGCTGGGAGAAGTCTTAGGCACATGGAGTAGGTCGGGAGGCTGTGTACTGAGTTCTATCTTACCTTCCTCGGGTGCTGATTCGAAAACTGAGACTTACAGTCCCGAAGATGATTATGTGTTCTTCATGGGAGATTCTGTACGAGATCAGACTTTGGGAAGGGATGGAGATAACAACTGTGGCCAAAAGGATCACTATGTGGACACAGAGATTGAATGGAGATCAAAACGAAGAAAACTATACGAGCTGAAGTACTGGGAAGGCAGAGGAGCGAGGATAAAGCATAATGGCATAGCTATTTCTTACTCAGTCACTTCCCACCTTGAGGACAAGGTGTTTGTCAAAGGGGGAGTGATGATAGAGACCTAAGAATATTATTAAGTCTTAATATTTTGTAATAAAAGGGGTGTAGGCCTTATAACTAAGTGGAGGTGGGCTGGCCCATGAGTGAATGAATAAATAAGGTAGGCTGGGAATAGAAGAAAGAGGGTGGTTGGAATTATCGGGCTTGGGACTCGGGACTGGGAGTCGGAAACGACTTGGGAATTGTATTCTTGTCTCTCGGTTAAACAATGAACTTTTGTTTTTGATCTTCATCGCCATTTTTGAGCTCAGAATTACTGTTGAATTACCGATAACCTAACAAGGCGCGCCTCAGGTAATTTGTATAGCAAGGCGCAGAATTGCATGGCGAAAGGCGGAAGGGTAGAAATATGCGCTATATGGCGTAGTGGCGTACGATTTCTGCAATGCGCGATAAGGCGCTCTAAGGCGACCGCCTTGAAAGTTTAAGGGTTTAAGTAGATATATATGTGGAGCTAGCGGTAGGGCCCACTTTTATTTTTTTAGTTGGCCACCGAGCATGTAGGCTATTCCCGACCTGCGTTGCTAGTTGCTGCTTCACCCTTTGTCAATCTTCATACAGAAGATGGGAGAAGTTCCGTTGCTGCTTCATCATCTGCGCATCACAGGTTTGCAGAAGACCTGCGCATCAAGTTTCATCTGCTTCTCCTCTTATGTGTTTATTTCTTTGATAACAGAACACTTCATATTACAAAACTTATACGAAGTATTATAGTTTATTGAGTAGAACGAGGTTGCAGGACGGTGGTGGCATGGATAAGTGGATTTGAGATTATAAACTTTGGATAGCCCATACTGGGATAGTGGGATTGTCAGATAGTGGGTGTGAGATAAGAATTAAAGCAAATTGAATTTAGAAAAGGAAAAAAAAATTGACCATGTGGTGGTGTCCATTAAAAAATGAATTGGGTTGGCAGCTGGCAGTTTATGCTTCATTATTTTTGGTGCATCATTTACTTTTTTATTAATATGTATATGTAAAATTATATATATATTTATATTTATATACTTCCTCCGTTCTTAAATAAATAAATGCAACGCTCAACATTTCACACTTGCCAAGACACAACTTTGACCATTAATATATATGATTTTGTATTAGTAAAAAAAATAAAAAATAAAATATATTGTGAAAATTTACAATGAGACAAGTTTAACAATATTGTTTTCATAAAAACATATTATTACATTAATAAATAAAACGTAGTCAAAGTAGAACATGTGAATAGTGTAGAAGTCAAAGTGTTGCATTTATTTAAGAACGGAGGCAGTATATTTTTATATATAAATGTATTACGCTTCACGTCTACGCCTCATTGCGCAATGAGGCTTACGCAATACGCAATAATAAAAAAACGCCACGATTACGCCATACGCAATTTCGAACCTTGTGTGAAAGTCCAAACACTGTCTTTTAATGACTTGAAGGAGTATGCAGAAGCCCCTAATCGTTTATCTGGGAATCCCTGGGATGTGAGATGACATTCAAACACTATAGTCCACAAACAAGTGACTTATATTTACTCAAGTAGCTTAGTTTTTTGAGGATCAAGTACCTTAGTTTTAATTGAAATGAAACGTCATCTGTCAGTTTCTTTTTTCTCGGTGTTATGATATTGCAGTGGACTAACAATGTTGGTTCATGAAAACAGGAGATGTCATATAATAATTATCTAGATGCTGATGCAGCTTGGAATTGTGTGTGCGAGTTTAGTAAACCAACATGTGTGATTGTGAAGCATACAAACCCGTGTGGTGTGGCTTCTAGAAGTGATATTATTGAAGCATATAGGCTTGCAGTCAAAGCAGATCCAGTCAGTGCCTTTGGTGGTATAGTCGCCTTCAATGTAGAAGTTGATGAGGTAAATGTTGAGTCATTAACATACTAAGGTGGTGTTCTTTTCACCCTACTTATTACTTACTATCTAGATTAGATCAGAAATATTCAAACGGCTGAAGATGAGTTTGATATTTACATTGAAAGTAAATGTTTTACCTTCAAAATTATTGACTACACTACTGCTTGCATTTCTGAAACGAAGCATGGAATATCGTCTTTTATCATTCTCGATATTGCTAGGGTTAATTGATTGAAGGATTCCATACTCAAGATCTTTTCGGGTAGCAAATTCGGTACTAGGTTGGAGCTGAATAAATCCTTTATTGTTTTGTATGATGCTAATTTCTATGGTGGATTTATCCAAATAATTGAAAAGGGGTGTGATTCTCTGTTTATTCCGGAGGGGCGGAATGGACAAGGGATAAATCTATTTCTTTTGGGGATTACAAAAGCAAGTACTTTGATGAACTCAATTGTCCCCAAAAAATTAGAGATTGAACGTGATTCAGTTGATGCCTTGCCGCCACTTGTGGGTTTTGGGGTGTTTTGTTCGGACAAAGGGTCATCCTCTACAGACACAGAATCAATATCCTCTTTAATCTTCAAAGAAGATTTGCATTGTCTTGGGCTTATTTATGAATCAGATAATATTTCAAGGAGTGCTCTTATGATTCGGGATACTTCTCAGGGGACATTAACTTTTGAAACCAAGGAGATAGATGTGACAAATATCCTTCAAACTACTCAACTTCGAGTTTCGTTTTCCATTACTGAACCTCTATTAGTGGATGGATTGGTTTCTCCCTAGACTGAAATTTGGAATATAATGTTTCGGGTGGATAAGATCTTGAAGTTACGCCTATTCATAGGATACTTTCTGATCGTGAGCTACTAGACCGTGTTGCTGACACTGAATGGGACTCATCCAGTTCTAGATTGTTACCTCGATGGAGTGCCCGTCTCAAGGCTAAAAAATTGGCTAACGCTTCGGGTTGCTTCTATCTTTTCAGAATTAGCGTATGGATATTTTGGGGAGTTCATCTCTTTCGGGCAACTTAATATTAATCGACGGGGAGCTTTTCGCTTACTTTGAGGCTTTGAATGGTGGTGGATTTGTGGGGCTTTTTTGGATTGTTCACTCATTATCATTTTTTGTTTCACTTGCTTTCTTTGTTTCACTAGCTTTCTTTCTTCATTTTGTACTCTTCTTATTTTATTTTTAATAAATTTCCTTTTACCAAAAAAAAAAAGATCAGAAATATTCAAATGATACCAGAAAGATTGACATGATACAAAAAATGTTCAGATTATGCCGTATCTTTATATTTCACATCATAAAATTAGAAAAAGTTACTCACATTTTGAGTGGACAAGAAAATCAAACAAGATCAGTAAATCTCAAACCAATCCCCAAAAAACCAGCCAGTCGAGAAACATTCATACTAGATCAGATATGGTATTTTGGACAAGAATATTAGACAAGACAAGAAATATTCAGGCCAGCAGAAAGATTCTGTCCGGACCAAACCTTTAAAATCAAGATGAGACCACATTCTTTTCAGTCAATAAAAATAACATGTGCTTTGTCTATTGATACTGGGAATTTATATCCTTTTGTTAAATATATTGATAGGGTCTTGCTAATGATATTCGAGAATTCAGAAGTCCAATTGATGGTGAAACTAAGATGTTTTATGAGATCGTTGTTGCCCCTAAGTATACAGCTAAGGGTCTCGAGATTCTTTGTGGAAAGTCCAAGAATTTGAGAATCCTTGAGGCTAGTAAAAATAGCAAGGGAAAGCTTTCACTTAGGCAAGTTGGTGGGGGTTGGTTAGCTCAGAATTCAGATGATAAAATCCCAGAAAACATCCTATTTAATGTTGTTTCTTCTGGGAGAACCCCACAAGAGAGTGAGCTTGATGATGCTAAGTTTGCATGGCTCTGTGTCAAGCATGTGAAGAGCAATGCGATAGTGATAGCAAAGGTTTTGTTTGCCTACTCCTTATGTGTGATTCTTCTTTTACATTTGAAGTGAATTAGCAACAAATTGGGTTGAATACTAAATCCTAGTTATGGGGGTGTTTTATGGTGGCGCAGGACAATTGTATGCTAGGTATGGGAAGTGGACAACCAAACCGCCTTGAGAGTTTAAGGATCGCCTTGAGGAAGTCCGGGGAACAAGTCAATGGAGCCGCTTTGGCCAGTGATGCTTTCTTTCCATTTGGTAAGTTCTTCTTTAACATTGTAATTTTTCAAACATTAGAATTATATCTTTCTTTCCTCGCCAATGAAACCCTTGAAGTGTTACATGAATATAATATTACCTTAAACTGTTCGGTTCATGCATCGAGATATTGCTTATGTTGTCCCATACTCCCATCCAAACTGGGAACAATCCAAAATATTGCTGATCTTGCAATACTTTTGAAAATTGCCTTCTTTTTATCTAAAAGTCCAAATACTATTGTAGTGTTACGAACACCAACCAAGGTAATGTTACATTACATTGATATTGTAATGCTGTATGATGCTAATATTACATTACTGAGCACTAAACAAGGTAATGTTACATTCCATTGGTAATGTCACATCCGGGAGTCACATCCACACCCCCAGAGACCCACTAGTACTATAAACTCGGCTTTTCATTGTCTTTATTACTACGTACTACATATTATTTTATATTTAAGGTTTTGGTTATATGTAATGACACTGGTATGCACAACAGCATGGAATGATGCTGTAGAGGAAGCATGCAAAAGCGGTGTAGGCGTAATTGCAGAACCAGGAGGGAGCATCAGGGACAAGGATGCCATTGATTGCTGTAACAAGTATGGTACAACCCTGCTTTTTACCAATGTGAGGCACTTCAAGCATTGATTGATTATATCGAATTGTCTGTATCCTACTATCCTACACAATTTTGTTGTTCTTCGAGATGCTTTCCTACTTTAGTTTAGTCTATTTTGTTTTGTACTAAAAGCAGTCTTCATACCAATAATTATGTAACAAAAGAAGTTCATAATTGGGGTGTTGCAAGTGATTGGTCTCACGGGATTTCTCGCTTTTTCGGAAGCTTGCAATGTGTTACAATCATCTGATGATCTTTGTTTTGTTATTATAGTTTATAAGGGTCAAGTTTTTAATTGTTCATACAAGGATAGTTACTTCACACACTTGTCCAAATTATACCCATGAAAGTATCTCACTGGTCCTGTGACTCCTATCACCCTTCTGTCTGCAATTTACATTTTGGAAAGCGAAAAATAATGCTCTAGGCAATTTATTAAAATGGTTAGTCACTATGTTACTCCATGTTTGTTCAAAATAAAACTTATATTTCCAAATTTGGTCAAACTACTCGTTACCCACTAGTTATTTTTTCTGCCCGTCTACTATCCAGGGGTGGACTCGGGTCCGGGTCGGGCCTAGGCCCGGGCGGGCCGGCGGTTCAAGAATGGTGGACCCGGGACCGGCCCGGGTAGCCACCGGGTCCGGTCCGGGTCCGGGCCGGGCCTCCGGTTTGGATTTTTTTTTTTTGCTTTCCTAACCCCTCCCCCCTCACCCCCCACCCTCCCAAACCCCCCAAACCCATCCTACCCATCAAGCCCAACCCGGGTGGAACCCCAAAAATGAAAAAAAATAAAAAAAAATTCAATTTGGCCCGGGCCCGACCCGGCGGGGTCGGTTCACCAAAATTGAGACCCGAGCCCGGACCCACCCTACCCCCGGGCCTAGGCCCGACCCGGTCCCGCACAGTAGCGGGCCGGGTGGCCCGACCCGAGTCCAAGCCTACTACTATCTTAGGAGGCGTTTACTTCGCTGCTAAAGTCACAGTTAGGTTAGTAAAACAGGTAAAGTAAACACGCAAGTTGCTTAAAACGTTGTTTATTAACCGAAAGAGGTGCTTAAAGTGTCGCTTACGAAGCATACCATCCCCATTTATTAATTAAGCAGCACTTTAAACTTTTTCGATTTCCGAATTTACCTAAACATTTACTCCTTGCCCTTACCCTATTGCTACCCCACTACCTCGCCTTACCCTACCTTACCCCGACCCTCGACCCCACCCCACCCTACCCCTACCACCAACCCCTACCCTACCATCCCACCCCCTACCCCTACCTTGACCTTACCTTACCTCACGTCCTCACCCCCTTCCCTACCTCGACCCCAACCCCCACTTGTACCCTTTACTTCGACCCTACCCTTTTACCCCCTACCACCTGCCCCTACCTCGACCCCACCCCCGACCCCACCCCACTCCCATTACCATACCCTGACCCCCACCCCTTTACCCCATATCACATGTCCCTACCTCGACCCAACCCTTACGAGTAGGGTGAGGGTTGGTATGGGTGGGAGTAGGGGTGGAGGGTAAGGTTGTGGTAAGTGTAGGGGTATGAAAGGGGTAGGGGTCAAGGGTGTGGAATTGGGGGTAGGGTGAGGGGTGGGGTACAGGGCGGGGTAGGGGTTAGGGTAGGGTCGGGCCCGGTCGGGCCAGCGGTTCTATATAGCTGGACCCGGGACCGGCCCGGGTAGCCACCGGGTCCGGTCCGGGTCCGGGCCCGGGTAGCTACCGGGTCCGGTCCGGGTCCGGGCCGGGCCGGGCCTCGGGTTTGGTTAATTTTTTTTTTTTGCTTAGCTACCCATCCCTGACCCCCCCCCCCCCCTCACCCCCACCCCCAAACCCCTCCTAAACATCAAGCCCAACCCGGTGGAGCCCAAACAAATGAAAAAAACAAAAAAATTTAATTTGGCCCGAACCGGGCCCGGGCCGGGCCGGGCCGGGCCTTGTTATGGGTGACCCGAGCCCGGACCGGAAACCCACCGGGTCGGGCCTACCCGGACCGGTCACTGACCGGGCCACCGGTTCGGGCCGGGCCGGAACAGTACCGGTCCCGATCCGGTTCCGGGTCGGGCCACCCGACCCGAGTCCAACCCTAGGTTAGGGTGTGGGTAAGCGACTAAGCGTACGAGGTGAGCCCATATATTATCTTATATACTTATGTTCATGAATGTTTGTGTTATTGATGGACTCAGGCCGGGTCGGGCCCGGGCCGGGCCGCCGGTTTGTATGACATGGGCCCGGGACCGGCCCGAGGGTTGGACGGGTCCGGTTCGGGCCGGTCCACCCGCCCGGGTCACGGGTCGGGTCCGGTTCGGGCCGGGCCGGTTAAAGTTTTTTTTTTATATAATTTATATTTTATAGTTTATAGTTTTATACGAGTATTAAAAACAAACTTCAAGTGCATTTATTTGAAATGGAATAGGAACTACATTTGAAAATTAAAACAAACTTTAAGAGACAAACATTTTGAAAATTGTAATCAATTGGAACTTCCCGCACCTCCCGATCCTTTGGCTTTGTCACATGACTTCATATGCTTGATTGCCATCCCGTATCCGCTTGAAACCCCCATGCTACATTTTTTCTCGCACCATTTGCAAATTGCGTACCACATCCCGGTCTTCGGGTCCTTCTGCTTATCGAAATTATACCGTATAATGGCATCTTGATTTTCCATCTTAACTTCTTAAGTATAAACTATAAAGTAGATATATAAATAATAAATATAATATATTGGAGAATAAGAGAATTAGAGAGTAGAGAGTTAAGAATAGGATTTAGGAAGAATTGGAGAAGAGATATGAAAAAATGTTTAAGATTAGGAGTATTTATAGGTTTTTTTACCCCCACCCCCCCCACCACCACCCAACCCCCCGGACCCCCCCTGCACCCCACCCAACGGCTATATAGCCGTTTGGGTTGTCCCCAGCCCACCCCCAACGGCTAGTAGCCTAGTACCAATTAATTTTTTTTTTTTAAAAACAAATCAGATCGTTGGCCCGGACCCGGCCGGGCCGGGTCACATTTATCCGGAACCGTGCCCGCCCCGCCCATTCCCACCGGTTCGGGTCCACACCCGGTCCCGGTCCGGTCCCGGGCCCGCACAGTACCGGGCCGGGCCGGGTCACGGGCCGGGTGGCCCGAACCGAATCCAACACTAGTTTGTGTTTGTATATTTCTATAGGGTTATTTTAGACATTTTAATGTTAAACGGTGTTTTAAATCCTTTGAAGTAAACATGAGCTTACAAGTTACAACACTGCTTATTTTATGTCCCGCTTATTAACGCGAGTCTTAATAAGCACTGTTTACTAACCCGTGAAGTAAACGTGTCCTTACTGTTTGTATTTGGAAAAGACAAAAAAAAAGTCTAAAATGTGAATAATTAGTGGAGAAAGAAACAAAAGTATCTTAGAACAAATATAGTATTATCCTTTTCCGTGGTTCATTTATACACAAAATTAATATTTGGCCTGTGTAAATCTTGTTTTTTATATTGTAACTAGATTCTTTACGTGTAACATGTCTAATTAAAAATGCTATAATGATCTCTCATGTCATTGATATCCTGAATCCTGATGTCACTAAAATTGTACATGTATATTACATATACAGATTATAAATAACAGAGCGAGTTTGGTGACATGGTTTTTCATCAAACACGTAACTCTTGATTTCGCGCGTTGAATTATGTAATACTCTCCGTCTCCCTAACTATCTTGTTTTATCTTTTTCGTCCGTTCCATTAAGTTTGTTTTATACCATATTTGGTAATATTTAAGTGGTTACAATTCATTCTTACTTTATTCACATTTTATCAATTCAATACCAACCACATAATTTCACTTATTCTTAAAAGTTGTGTTACACTTTCTTGTCTCAAACATAGTGGGAAGGAGGTAGGAGTGGATTCGGGCCTAGGCTCGGGCAGGCCGCCGGTTCTGAATAGGTGGGCCCGGGACCGGCCCGAGTAGCCACCCAGGTCCGGTCAGGGCCGGGCCGGGCCTCGGGTCATTTTTTTTCCTAATTAACCCACCTCCCACCCCCAACCCCCCAAACCACCCCAAATGGTCCAAAATATCCAGCCCAACCCGGAAAGTTAAAAAAAATGAAAAAAAAATTAAAAAGCCCGGAACTGAGCCCGAACAGCCGGGCCGGTTCGGCTTTTGGGTGACCCGAGCCCGCACCGGGAACCCCTGGGCCGGGCCTACCCGGACCGGTCACTGGCCGGGCTACCGGGTCGGGCCGGTTCAGCACAGTGCCGGTTCTGGGTCGGGCCACCCAGCCCGAGTCCACCCATAGAAGGAGGTAGTAATAAGAAATAGTAAGATTGAAGTTATTTTTCTGGTTGTATGTCTGAAGTTATTGTAGAGGATCATTTTAGTTGTTTTATATATATTTTCTTTTTTTTATTAATAAAATATATTTCAAATATTTTTTTTTTCATAAATCAGCGGAATCAGTCAATCCAACCATTTCATTCACAACTTCATAAATTTCAGCAGAATCAACCAATACAGCCGATTTGGATGTTACTGTGAGACAAACTTTCAAATTTGAGAAAGTGCTTTAGGTTTTCGTTTTTACATAGAACATATGAAATGAACTTATATCATAGCGCTTCATACAACACCAAAATTGTATAAGTAACATTTTAAATTTTAAATAATTATAATCACAATAGAGGTAGTAATGTGAATATTTCAAACTTTTGAAAAGCGTGAACTCAGCGTCTTGAACTTGCAAAACAAATATGTTTAGCATGTAATCTCAAAATCATGTGTATGGTTATCTGTTTTATTCAATCAAAATCAAGATTTTGACTTCACCTTTCCAAAACTTTGGTATATTTAAAATATAAATTACTTGTTTTGGAGATTAGGTTATACACACATTTATCTAACCTGACGCAACACATTTCCTGTAGGTATCTTCCACCTTCTTTCTTGGAAGTTATCAAGAGACACCTTATAACGTGGAGGCACCTTCTTGGAAAGAGCTCTCCAACAAATAGGCGTGGGAGAAGATATGGAGATAACTAGGAAGCTTGGATGCAACTTCCTCATGTCTCCAAACCAACCCTATAAATAGAGTGCTCCATTGTTGTTCATAGTATCAGTTTAGAAAGTGAGAAAAGTGTGTGAAGAGTGAAATACACTTAGTGTAGAAGTGTATTGGTGAGGATTGGTTTTTTGTAATAGTTGAGTGTGAGAGTTTGCTCCTCCTATTGTAATTCTGTTCTTGATATTGAATAGAAGAATTTTCCAATCCCAACAAGTGGTATGAGAGCGAGGTTGAGTTTCCATACACTGTTTTCTCATTTTCAGATAAATTTCTACAGGTTAGAAAATCGTGATTTTTCAAGTTGCTCGGAATCAGGATCTGATCATACCGTTAGATTCGTGCACATAATAACCAATGTCGGATGCGCACTTGTGTTGAAAGATGTTCGACACGTTCCGGATCTTAGATTGAATCTTATCTTCGGTACAGCTCTGGATCAACAAGGATATCTTAACCGATTCAAAGAAGGTACGTGGAAGCTATCTAAAGGTTCCTTGGTTGTTGCAAGAGGCCATATTTGTGGCACTCTTTATAAAACTCATGCAAAGTTGTGTCATCCGAGTCTCAATGCTGTTGAAGAAGAGATATCACCAAACTTGTGGCACCGGAGGTTAGGTCACTTGAGCGTGAAGGGATTGACAACTCTTGCAAAGAAGGAAGTCATTTCCATGGGCAAAGGTGTTGCTCTAGATTCATGCGAGCACTGTCTATTTGGGAAACAACACAAGGTTTCCTTCAGTTCTACCAAGAAGAACCATACAGAGTTACTCAGTCTTGTCCACTCTGATGTATGTGGACCCATTGAAGAGGAGTCACTTGGAGGAAGCAGATACTTCGTGACATTCATTGATGATGCATCACGAAAGGTATGGGCCTACTGTTTAAATCGTAAGGATCAAGTGTTTGATCGATTCAAATCATTTCATGCCATGGTAGAAAGAGAAACATGGATGAAGCTGAAGTGTCTGCGTTCAGACAATGGAGGAGAGTACACTTCCCGAGAATTCTCAGCATATTGTGCCGCATATGGAATCAGACATGAGAAGACGGTTCCACGAACTCCGCAACACAATGGTGTAGCCGAAAGAATGAATCGGACCATTATGGAGAAAGTTCGTTGCATGTTGAGTCTGGCTAAGCTACCTAAGCCATTTTGGGGTGAAGCTGTGCTGACAGCTTGTTATCTTATAAACAGGTCACCTTCTGTTCCTTTAAACTTTGAAGTGCCAGAGAAGAAATGGTCATGAAGAGATGTTTCTTACTCTCACTTGAAAGTGTTCGGGTGCAAGGCATTTGCACATGTGTCCAAGGAGTTGAGACAGAAGCTTGATCTCAAGTCAAACCCATGTATCTTCATCGGCTATGGAGATGAAGAATTCAGATACCGGTTGTGGGATCCCGAAGTGAAGAAAGTTATTCGAAGCAGAGATGTTGTATTTCATGAAAACGAGATTCATGGGTGTGCTTCAATAATCCGCCAACAACATACTCCAGAAGACGAAGTGCCTGTATCATCAAACATTCCTCTCAGCGACGAGGAGATGCATGATTCTACTGAACACGAGAGTGATGGTTCAGCAGGTGATGATGATACTCACAGTGATGATATTCCTCGGCAGGGGGAGCCTTCATCTGAAGACGAATCTGAAGGTATTCATGTTCGACGTTCTATGCGAGACATAGTTCCACAAAGAAAATACTCCACATCCGAATGGATACTTGTTGCCAGCGAGGGGGAGCCAGCGAGCACCGCAGGAACGAGAGAAATAAAGAAAAAGGTGGAGGGGGAGATTTGTAGGTATCTTCCACCTTCTTTCTTGGAAGTTGCCAAGAGACACCTTAACATGGAGGCACCTTCTTGGAAAGATCTCTCCAACAAATAGGTGTGGGAGAAGATATGGAGATAACTAGGAAGCTTGGATGCAACTTCCTCATGTCTCCAAACCAGCCCTATAAATAGAGTGCTCCATTGTTGTTCATAGTATCAGTTTAGAAAGTGAGAAAAGTGTGTGAAGAGTGAAATACACTTAGTGTAGAAGTGTATTGGTGAGGATTGGTTTTTTGTAATAGTTGAGTGTGAGAGTTTGCTCCTCCTATTGTAATTCTGTTCTTGATATTGAATAGAAGAATTTTCCAATCCCAACATTTCCAAGTGTAGACATAATTAGCTAAAAGAGTAAACATAATCAGGCAAGTTGACCATGTTGGCTAGGACATGCACCATAACATTAAAACCCAGTTATGCTACTATGCTAGTAAAGTTCAATTTGATTTTTTTGTTTAAGCCTCTTGGTTGGCATCCAATGCAATTTCGAACATTTAACTCAACTACAAGGCATGTCTTTTTTTATAAAATACAATAATCTTGAATCACCTAATATGTTAAATATCTGAATGTATCATGTCCATAAGACCATAACACATTCAAAATACAAAAATGAAGAATTTAACCCGACAATATGCAACCTCCAAATGCAAATGAATATTTTGTAAATGAAATATTTAAAGATGAGAAATATGGAAAAATAATTAAAATACCACAAACTTTGATGAGGTGTGAGATGAGCACCCCAAACTTGCATATGTAATTTAAATATCCCAAACTTCGTATAAAAAATTATTTTAGCACTATGGTCATGTATTATTTTTTCAAGACGCGAGGACGTTCGTCGACGAACGTCGCCACCCCCTGGTCATTTACGTCCCCCTCTAGGTGCTCATGGCGACTTGAGATTATTTTGAGATAATCGACACTTTGAACTGTTTAGAGCATATCACTGTGATTATTCTTGTCAATGTTATTTGTTTACAAAAAAATCATGAGTGAAAAACTTGCTCGAATAATAAGGGGCCATAATTTACTGGGTTAGCAGTGGCCCGAAGTGTTGGCTCCAACCCGTTGATGTTGGATTCAGGTCCTGAACCAAGTAGGAGAGAGTGCTTCTACGAGTTCCACTGTCATCCTCTCACATTCATCAACGCCATTTTCACTTTTAAACAAAATTAGGACTGGATAAAATGGAAACAGGGAAGGTGGTAGTGGAAAGAGTGCGAGGAAAGTCTACGATCACTCATTGCTTCGCGAAGTATCCTCTCAAATTCATCATCCCAAAGAAGGTTAAACCCTGGAATTCTATAACTTCGACCAGCCTGATCGTAGGCTTATCAGTTTGGCCTCCCCTAATTTAACATGCCTTTTTATCGTAGGTGGGTTCATCCCAAACGGATGCTGTTTGGATTTACACCATCACCTATGGGGGAGGCATTGTCTCAGTATGTCTCCTGTGTCTTCATCATCGTTTTTTTTTTTTTACAATATGTGTGTGTGTGTGCGCTCCTCTTTCCTCTAGAAAAGAGGTTTATAGTAAGGTACGGCTTTTTAAAATGATAAAATTCGACTTAGTTTTAGTTATCTGTTATTTCCTCTAACAGAATGAGTCAGAATCTGTCACATTGGACCAATTAGGTTGCAACCTTTTTGGGAATTGTATGCAAGATTAGCTCCGGTTTATGAGGACAGTTTTAAATTTTGAAATATGGTATTTAGTAGGACTAATGGGAATAACAATTGTGACAATTTTGGAATCTTATCTCAATAATCCTTTCCTAGAAAGGTTTGGGTAGGAAGGGAATCTGGTGTTGACCTTTTGCCAAAATGTTCTTTTTGCCGCTGATTTTAGACACTTAATTAGAAGTATCAACTATCAAGTCTCCTACCTTGACGTAGTTGTGGTTAAGGTGCGGATGATGATATTTGTTGTGGCAGAACATGAAAGACATGAGCTATGATGTAAAAACTTTTGTTCTGCATTTCGTGCCATTCCTTTACTTTCTTACTCCTTCCCCAATCATAGATTTTGTTGGCCATTATATCTGCATTCCTTCATTCCTTGGTATGGTTATGCTGTGATCAGGGAGACTGTATATCATGTCTTATTACAGTGGGAGATGGTTGCACAACAGTTTTGACTACACAGGCCTCTACCAAGGTCAAGTCTTTCTTTTTCCTTATTTATTGTTTGTAGAATAATACTATGTAATAACTAAGATGTGATCTCTGTGATGTGGCATCATGCACTTCATTAAGGGACCATTTTGGATACTTTTTTTCTCCTTTCCTTGAATATTCATGGGATTTTTATTTTCTGCAGGTGTATAAGTCTGTGGAGTCGAAGTGCTCTGAGCAACTCTTGGAGGTATTGTTATCACTTCGGTAAATTTATGAGCAATTTGTAATTCCATACTCCATATATTTCTGTTCCTTTCTAATTTTCTTTTAGTTTCTTATGAAAATTCATACAGGTAAGTAATAGGAATTATTTTTACTGAAATAGAACTCATGCACATACATATGACTACTAGTCACTAGTGTAAACTTGAACATCATCTTAATGAGTCAATGACTACAGAATTTGCGTTATAGTCATTGGGTATTTAAAGTACATTTCCATTATGGTAACTGGGTATTTAGTCACATATTATGTCTAGTATTTTTATTTCAGTCATACATCTGTCATTATTATAACTAAGGGGATTGAATCAGTAAGTTATCTACAAAAATGCGTGTGTCGATATCCATTTTTCTCTAGATTTATTGTGCCTCTTAAAAAATGTTGGCTTGCGTGCAGTAGGCAACAGTAGGAAGCAGTTCTCTGTTGGCTGTAATTCCGGATCCAGTTACATGTTTTTCCACTGCAAAGTATTCTCAGAGGCAAGTTTTCAGAATGTCACTAGACTCAAACTTGCTGCTGGTTGACTGGATAACTAGTGGCCGGCATGAACGAGGAGAAAAATGGGTTTTTGATCTTTACAAGAGCACAAACCACATATTTTTAGATGACGAGCCTTTGTTCCTCGATTCGGTAATTTCTGCGAACTTCTTAATACTTATTGGTGTATGTTCTTTTCTTCAGTTGCATTTGTTGAAAAGTAGTAATTTTTGTGTTTGAGGCCATGTTCATGTTTTTGTCTTCATTTTCTCCTGCAGTTAATGCTTGAGAAAGGCATGAGCAGTATTGCGGAGCGTATGGGAGGCTACCAAGTTTTTGCAATGCTCATACTTGTGGGGTAGGGGTAGGGGTAGCTAAGCTATATATATGTGTGTGTGCGCGTGTGTGTGCGTATATACATATAAAGTTGCTATATCTATATCCTACATTTTTGCTTTGTTTTGTCCTTGCTTTTGTATTACACCTGAGACAGTTGTTCTACTACTACTTTTCAGTCCAAAGTTGGAACATCTCCAAAAACAAATCCAGGAAGATGTGAAGAGAATGATGTCTCAAATGTTACTTTTTCCTTCATTTGGGTCAGGACAGTGTGCAAATAACCGAAGTTGGGCAAAACCGACTTTTGTTGCTTCTTGCAGTGTATTTGGTCCAAAGGTACTGGAAGAAATCCCCCAAGCTTTGTTTAGTTCAGGGTGCACTTAAGTAAACCACTTTATGAACCTGGGTGAACCTATGTACAAAGTAAAAACTGACCGAACCCAGGTGAACTCAGGTGCATGTACAAAACTCTGTTTAGATAGTTATTATGTTAAAACTAAATGAATATAATAAAGTTTGTTTGGATAGAGGTTCTTAAACGGATTAAATGACATTTTACTTGCAAGACCCAGATCAGAGGTTCTCCCAAATCAGGTTTCGAGATGAGAATCTGTGAAACCTTAGGTTCTTGGCATAAAAGTACTTGTCAACTGAATTCCAAATTAAGAGTGGAAGAAACTTAGGCTCATCCCTAAACAAATGGATCATCAAGTCGTTCAAACATTTTGGTAAATGGCGGTTGTGGGGGGTGGTGGGGGTGACTGGAACAGCAAGACATGATCCAGAAAGTTGACATACTACACCCCTTTTGTTCTTTCTTTAGTTGCAAAAGTGTTTTGTTTGGCAGGGAATGGGTGTTGTGACTAGGATAGCTGCTGAAACAACGGAATCAGTTTACAATTTCCTAGGTACTCAACTCTCAAGCTTGAAGCCATTGCTTGGTGTCTCGCCATATTGCTGATTCATCATCAAGTTGTATGACAAGATTTTCAGATTTTAGTATTTTTGCTTCATTTATGTATATGAATTTTGAGTAGACTATTTGAGTATTTGACTAGATTTTAGTATTTTTGCTGATTCATTTCTAAACATTTTGAATCCTACTTCTTTCAATAGACAGAGTAGACTATTTGAGTATATGAATTTCTGCCTTGTAAGATGCGGAAAAAAGAACTTATAATGCTTATTTGTATATAAGAGCAACTCCGATGCAAGGGTCTGGGTCTCTTACACTTTTTATCTCACAATTTTTATGTGTAGGACCCACGTATTCCAAATTTATTTTCTTTTTTCATTTTTTTATCACTTTTAATCCACTTTTCATCAACTTTTCCTCCTCGAATCCCATGTAAGGTCCATATATGGACCTTGTCATAGACCTTGGTCCATTTTTACCTCTATCTCTCTCTTCTTTTTCATTTTTCCCAACACACCACTTCATCCAAATATTTATTCTATCTCTATCTCTCCTATGCCACATCAGCTGCAATGCACCTTCCCATTGGAGATGCTCTATTACTGTACCATGGTTGTCATATTATTGAGGTAATATCCCGTTCTGACCCTTGTAACTTTGCAATAGATTGTTTTTTTATTATTCCAAAAACTTTGACACTCCCCTTTTGAATTTCAATAATACAATTTTACATTATTATTCTATAAGATTGAAAAAATATTATTGATATAATATTAAGCTCCGTGCCTTGTAACTTTGTAATATGATGTTTTTTGTTATTCCAAAAATATTGACACTTTTCCTTTTAATTAAATAATGAGACTCCTATCATTTTTTTCTAAACATGGCAGTATTTTCTAAACATGACAGTAATTAGTCATATTTTGGGAATAAAAAACATGACAGTCCTATTTTGGAATTTTGAAACCGTTTGTCCTATTTCGGGAACTTTCCCAAAAAAATCCACATTGCTCACAAGAATTCAAGATGGATAAATCTACGGTAGTACCATATTTCAACAATACACACCAAAATACATTTTTGTATTTCCAATTTATTTCCAGGAGTTTATATTTTCATTATATAAAAACTGATCTAAGGTATTTTGACTCTAATCATCAAAAAATACAACCGCTCATACAAACATGAATGTAATAAAATGATAAAAAGTGAATGAATGTCAAAAACTGCTTAGTTCAAAATGTGGTTAAGATCCAAAACTAAGTTGAGATCTCACAAGGAGCATGGAATGTCCTTCCACGGCAAATAGCTTCCAAGTTTTCTCCAGCATATGAACAAAGTGGTGAAACTTCCACCCCTGAAAGTGCAAAAGAAGATAATTTTTTTGAAACTTACACAGCTCTGAGAGTACATAAATAAAATTTCTTTATCTATTGTCAGAAGTACGGGCGAGTAACTACCTACCTGTTGCATATAAAGGCACTGAATGTGTTAAGAAGCCTCCAGCCGCTACCACCCAACGAGTGTGGAGGCGTAGAATGAGCAGCCTGGCGCCAAGGTTGAAAATATTTTGGTTCTTTAGATTCATGTAAAATTGAATGTTCTTGCTTGCATTGCGATATTGAAACCTAGAAAACTATGTTGTACGGAAACGCAAGCATGGGGAAGCAGTGAAGCACTAAACGGAAAACGCCACTTTTAACAGAAAATAGGTGTTTAGAGAGTTTCTCAAAGAGTTTTCGTAGAGTTTCCCAAACCGAAATGTACTCTTTTCCCGAGAGTTCCATGCTTCGTAGCTAAAAACAATATATATTCTGAAAATATTAATCAATATTAGGAATAAATAATTTTAATCCTTGCCTCGCACTATCTGGAGTGTCGAAGTTAGTCCCATTTGCATTTTTCACCGGAGCAAATTCTTCTTCTCTAAGCACCTATAGATACATTGAAATAGGAAGCATGATGTAACTAATCGGCTTGCATTTCAAAGGCAGGTGAAAATTGTAACATTTAACGCACCTCAAAAAGTGCTGTTGAAGGAGTATAAGGAAATGCATCAAATATGAACTGCTCTAGTTTATAGCCCATTGTATGGCCATGGATTGAAGGTATTATTTTCTCGGCAAGATGATAGATGCTGTCCTTCTCAAGGCCATTTGCTACTTCATTCAGGAAATCCAAAGTAAACATATGCAAGCAGATATTACTCCAACAAAAACGAAGACGCCCAGTTGCCTGGTTGGTTGCACTTGATAACTCTGGATCCAATTCAGTATATTCAACCACAGAGAGGGGCCCACCCTTACCTCGCCGCACAAAAACACCAACCTTTTCTTGTGGGTATGCCTAAAGCCAGATCAAGGAAAATATATCATGGACCAAAGTCCAAAAATGCAATTTGAGTTTATTTATTTAAAGATTATAATCTTTATTCTTGCACAGGAGATTCATAAATTCTATGCACGAACTAGTCCTTTTAAGTCGAGATTCTGTAATGATTTTAATTGGTCCATACTTTAGGGAATTAAAAGGCCACCTAAAAAAGTATGAGACTTATTTCAAAAGAGTAAGGTACTCCAAAAAAAAGTAATGCATACAACCTTATATAGATGAGAGTACGAGACTTTTTTGTTCTTAGAAGCACAATCTTTGTACAACAAACAACATTCAAACCTTAGTCCCAAAAGATATTTGGGGTCGGCTAACATGAATCGATATATGATATCACCACCAAAAGGAAAAGAAAGAAAATAAAGATAAAAAAGATAAGCTATGATAAAAAGGCAATATAAAAAGAGATGAATATACATAAAAATGATAAAATAAAAAGGATACAAATAATGCTTATATATATATATATATATATATATATATATATAAGGATAAAAACAACAAGGAAAAAAGATGAGGGGAAAAGATGATACGAGAACACTCCTCCACACGAATACCCGTCCTCCACTTAACTCTCTCCAAAGTCACGCCCTCATTCAACCCTAGAAGAAGCATATCACTTCGAACTCCCCTAACCCACGTTTGTTTGGGTCTTCCTCTCCCTCTCTTCTCCGCCTCTTCTCCACACATCTCAACTCGTCTGACAGGTGCATCACTCGGTCTTCTACGCACATGACCAAACCACCGTAGACGTGACTCCTGCATCTTGTCTTCAATAGGTGCTAATTCTACCATTTGTCTGATTGTCTCATTCCTCACGTGGTCCTTCCTAGTATGCCCACACATCCAACGCAGCATGCGCATCTCTGCCACACTCATCTTTTAAATGTGACATTGTTTCACCGCCCAACACTCTACGCCATACAGTAATGCAGGCCTAATTGTTGTCCTATAAAATTTACCCTTCAGTCTAGTCGGCATACCTCGATCGCATAGAAATTCTGACACACTCTTCCACTTCATCCACCCTGTTCTGATTCTATGAGATACATCTCCATCTAACTCACCGTCCTTCTGAATTATGGAGCCCAAGTAACAGAACATATCGCTGACTGGTATCTCCTTACCATCCAGAGTAATTCCGCTGATACCACTGCTTCTACCTCCACCAAACTTGCACTCCATGTACTCTGTCTTGCTCCGATTTAGTTTGAAACCCTTATTCTTCGATGTTTGTCGTCATACTTCCAACTTTGCTTTAACACCTGATTGCGTCTCATCAATCAATACGATATCGTCGGCAAACATCATGCACCACGGTATATCGTCTTGAATTGACTTCGTGAGTTCATCCATGACTATGTCAAATAAGAAAGGGCTCAGAGCTGATCCTTGGTGCACTCCGATAGTAATAGGGAACTCTTCCGTCGTCCCTACACTAGTACAGACACTTGTAGTACAATCTTCATACATATCCATGATGATGATGATATACTTGCGTGATATGCCTTTTCTAGTTAAGGCCCACCAAAGAACTTCTCGAGGTACTTTATCGTATGCCTTTTCTAAGTCAATGAACACCGAATGCAGATCCTTATGAGTGTCTCTATACTTCTCTATAAGTTGACGAAGAAGGTGAATGGCCTCAGTTGTTGAGCGACCAGGCATAAAACTGAATTGATTCTATGAAATTCTTCACAGTTCTTCGAAGTCTTTGCTCAATCACTCGCTCCCAAAGTTTCATGGTGTGACTCATAAGCTTAATCCCTCGATAGTTGGCACATTCTTGTACATCACCTTTATTCTTAAATAAGGGGATAAGAGTACTCTTCCTCCAACTCATTGGCATCTTGTTGTTTCTCCAAATCATGTTGAAGAAACTTGTTAACCACTTGACGCCTCTCTCCCAAACTTCTCCAAGTTTGAAATTGCGTATTGTGGAGTTGTATTTTTTCACAAGGCGTGTCGTGTAAGCCTCATTGCGCATTGAGGCATAAGGCCAAGGCGTAGATCTTAATTTGTAGGGCAATTATGTATATAAAAAGTTGGAAGTAATAAGAAAAAAACATAATAACATTGCACAAAATAGAGTAAACAGTAAAATTTGTGGCAAGAAGTAATTATACATCACATTTTTTAACCTAAACAAAAAATTGGGACAAAAGTGAGTTATTTGAGTTATTTGAGTTATTGGCACAATTGATAAAGTGGGAATAAAGTAAGAATGCGTTAGAGGCACACAAATATTACCAAGTATGGTCATCATCATCATGTGTGGTATGGAACAAATTTAGTGGGACAGACGGAAAAGGAAATGGGACAATTATACTGGGATGGAGAGAGTAAGTAATAACATGGAATTTGCTGGAATCCACTCAAAGTAATATACTTCGTATATTATCTTGTCAAGAGAGGACAGAAGGATATTACTTAGGCAGCAAAAGGGTACTTCGGAGCCCACTCAAAATAATATACTTTGTAATTTTGTATATAATCTCGTCTCTCTACTTAAACATGTCGACACACGCCAAGGGATAGTTGGTCGCAAATAAGAACAATGCAGAGAGACGAGAAGGAGAAGCCGACTGCCACATGCATCATCAGAAGAAGAGATAATAAATATGGATCAATTACTGAATTATTTCTGAGTAGGTTTTGGCTTGATCCTCCTACTCCTTGTAACTTTTGTATCTAATAAACATGTGAGGTGTTCCCTGCCCCTCATTCCAAAACTCTCGGGTTTTGGTTTCAAACCGGGTTAAAAAAATACTGAATTAATTATTGAGTTTGAAATGCATTTGGGACTATTTTTTCATGTTATCAGTAGACTTACTATTGTGTAAGCCTTCTTGCAATTTGTATATTACGCTTTATATTGTACGCCTCAGTCCTAAAAGGCGTCAGCCTTCGTATGGTGTAAAAGTAGTTTCGCCTTTCATCACAACATTCCTGGAAATCGACGAGGCGCGCCTGTGTGTCCATGAGGCTAAAAAACTTTGCGTGTGAAGGAGGTTAATCTGTGTGTGATAGGATTAGGAAAAGAAGCATTTTATTTCAGCTGATGTCACTTTTATCGAGTCCTCCTTTTATTACTCATTATCTGCTCCTGACACTCTATCATGTTTGGACTTCATCTCATATCTCCGGCCCATCCATCAAGAGACTGTTAGTTCCCCTCCATCTGATGAGCACCCCCACTGCTCTCCTGTGGTAGACCCTCCTCCATTACAAGTTTACCATCGTCGCCCTCGACCTCCTCCCATTGAGCCTATCGTGGCCACGCCAGTTGATTCCCCTATGACGGTTCCTGCATCATCACCATCACCTACCGCACCACCTGGAAACACTCCGGATGATTTGCCCATTGCCCTCCGAAAAGGTACGCGTTCTACTTTTAACCCACATCCCATATATAACTTTTTGAGTTACACCAATCCCTACCTCTTACTTTGCTTTCATTTCACATTTGTCTCATATACCAATCCCTAAAACAACACATGAGGCATTGGCACATCCGGAATGGCGTAAAGCCATGTTGGCTGAGATGGAGGCTCTTCATTCTAGTGAGACGTGGGAATTAGTTCCCCATCCCCTGGCAAATCAGTGGTTGGGTGTCGGTGGATCTACACCGTTAAAGTTGGTCCTGATGGGCAAGTTGATCGTTTTAAAGCACGCCTTGTGGCAAAAGGGTATACTCAGATTTATGGTTTGGATTACACCGACACTTTCTCCTGTAGCGAAGATTGCATCGATTCGTTTGATTTTATCCATGGCAGCAATGAGCCACTGGTCATTATTCCAATTGGATATTAAAAATGCATTTCTTCATGGTAATCTGCACAAGGAGGTTTATATGGAGCAACCACCTGGTTTTGTTGCTCAGGGGGAGTCAGGTTTGGTATGCAGATTACGTCGTGCTTTATATGGCTTGAAGCAATCACCACGTGCATGGTTTGGGAGGTTTAGTGCCGTTATCTGCGATTTTGGCATGACTCGCAGTGATGTCGACCATTCTATATTTTATAGACATTCTGCCGGCAACAAATGTATTTATCTTGTTATATATGTTGATGACATTGTCATTACAGGTAGCGATGAACAAGGAATTGCACTCCTGAAGCAATATTTCTTTAGCAAATTCCAAACAAATAGACTTGGGAAAGTTGAAATACTTTCTTGGCATTGAGGTCGCCCAGTCTCAAAATGGAATTGTCATTTCACAAAGAAAATATGCATTGGATATTCTTGAGGAAACAGGTATGCTAGATTAGGCCAGTGGATACACCTATGGATCCAAACGTCAAACTCTTGTTAGAACAGGGAGATCTTTTGCCCAATAGGGAAAAATATAGAAGACTCATTGGCAAATTGAATTATCTTACCATCACGAGGCCAGATATTTCATTTGCGGTAAGTGTCCTTAGTCAGTTTCTTGATAAACCATGTAATGGACATTGGGATGCAGCTATTCGAGTTTTGAGATACATCAAGAAAACACCTGGGCAAGGATTGTTGTTCGAAGACCGAGACTATCATGATATTGTAGGATACTGTGATGCAGACTGGGCCGGATGTCCGATGGATAGACGTTCCACTTCGGGATATTGCATCTTGATTGGTGGAAACTTAATCTCATGGAAAAGTAAGAAACGGGATGTGGTTGCCAGATCTAGTGCTGAAGCAGAATATCGTGCAATGGCCCTTGCAACATGTGAAATCTTATGGTTGAAGCATCTTCTCCGAGAGTTAAAATATGGAAACACAAAACCGGTCCAACTCATGTGTGACAACCAAGCCTCAATGCACATTGCGTCAAATCCGGTATATCATGAGAGGACTAAACATATTGAAGTTGATTGCCATTTTATCAGAGAGAAGATCGCGAGCGGACATATCATCACAAATTATGTCAACACAACCGAACAACTTGCAGATATTCTAACTAAGTCTCTTAGAGGTCCTAGAGTGGGGTATATTTGTAACAAGCTTAGTACATATGATTTATATGCTCCAGCTTGAGGGGGAGTGTAGAAACCCTAGTAGAGTTGGGCTTAGCCCATTTTGTATATCCTTGTATATGGAACCCTAGTGCTCTAAATAGTTATAAATATAGCTTCTTGTATAGCATTATATATCAAGTATATGAAATATTACGATACTTGTTCACAGAGGTTAATCTGTGTGTGATAGGATTAGGAAAAGGTGCTAGTCTTGTGCCTCATAAATGTTATAAAAGTTGCATTTGAGGGGCAGAAAGTGTATTGAACTAATTGAAGCATCTTTCACAAACAAGTAATACACTCGAATATGGTCCAGTTAAAGTTAACTGGTTGTGTGGAAGGCTTTAGTAATCTTTCCATTTCATTGCAAGTACAACTAACTAAATTCATAAATCCCTACAATCATAACTTGGGAAAAGCTTCTTTAGCCACTTCCACACTGAATCAGCATTTTTCTTGTTTTATTTTTGAGATCACAATCTTACCTGACGCTATCTCAGATTCCCAATTTTATATATAGATTTTGGAGCATGAATATAAATCTCATCAAACAAAGTTTTAGATTGTATACCTTTTTTACAACTTTTGCAGCAGCAGACACACCCTTATCAATAAAATAACCCAAAAAGGTTGGATCAGCAACTCTGACCTGTTGTAGTAACAGTAATTAATACATGCAAGTATGAGATATAACTTCAGTAATTTTCTCATATTAACTTTAATTAAATCAATACTACCTCCGTCCCACTAACATTGGACATGAGAAGGTTGTGCGGTTATTAAGAAAAGTGAGTTGATGTGGTTGTTATTGAATTGATAAAGTGAGAATAAAGTAAAAATGATTTAGAACCACACAAACTTTACCAAATTTGGTATGAGACAATCTTATTGTGACGGACCGAAAAGGAAAGATGGGACAATGTTAGCGGGGCGGAGGGAGTATCATACAAAATCAACTCAAAAGTGAAAGCAAAAAAAGAGGTAGAACCAACCAAAGCATTGTCAACTCCATAACAATCTATATATTTTATTCCTCTTGTTGCCATGTCTTCCAATAATTTCTCATACTTCAATGCTGAAACATTAGTTCAGGTTGAATTACTTCATGGTAAAGCACTTAAGTTCAATAAATTAATACGAAGAAAAGGAAAATACAAAAGAATTCAATAATGTGAACAGACACTTTTGAACATGTAACCTACCAGTATACACTCCTCCATTTCCATCAGGGGACTTAGCTACCTATGTTTCAAAGCAAATGTCACATTATGATCAATATTTATATTAATAATATGAAGGTAAAAAGGATTAAAAAGGGGATGGGTAAACTCTAAAATAATCATCCACGTCTTTTCCCCAGAGCTTTGATCCCTAAAGAAATATAAATAGCCCTGATACCACCGAGGGGGGAGAGAGTGGGAGAAGCAATAAGCCTACAGAAACTTCCATGGTTTCCATATGGTCTAATGTTAACCTTCATTAACATTTTGTTTTAAGGAAAAGTGACTTCAAGTGAATAAAGGAGCTCTAATTTATGAGAGGAACTCAACCCTAATGTATAATCAAGATATGAAAGAAATCACCATACTCTATATGGAGTCTCCATTATAAATCTTCCATCCTTTGAGACACATGGGATTGTTCCCTGTTTGAAGAACGTGACCTGCATCCGAAACAGTTTTTACTCATTTCAAGTGACACAAATATCAATAAAGCGGTATGACACTATGAGCCCGTTGGATAAGGATTATCTAGCTGAAATGAAATGGCTAAATCTTTTGAATTTCTGGAAGGAAAAGAGTTTGTAAAATCAATTTCAGCCAAATGAGCGAGTCAACTACACTTATTCTGCTTATTAGGATTATTCTACTTATAGGAGATGAGCAGAATAACCTGATTACTGCAACTAAACAGGGTAAACATCAAATGAGATGATAAATCGAGTAATTACTTGATCTGCACTGAGGCCAAAATATTTATGATATTCAAAAAAATTGCGTGTGGGTTCATCTGTGAATGGACTAGTCATAATGTACCAATGAATTGGAACAATGCCAGCACCTGCAGATTATGTACTACTTAGAACTCAGAAGCATCTGTGAATAACATTTAGCAAAGAATTAAATGAGTATGCTCACCTTCGTTTGCTGATCTAGCTGCTAATCTCTGGACACGCAAAATTCGCTCAGCTTGAATCTGGAAAAGTGATTTTCCAGAAGGAAGTCCGATATCTGTCATGAGAAGAAAAGATCATGAGTAAATGTCTCTTGCCATTTTGTTAAGTTGAATTGGGAGGTCACAGAGAAAATACAAAGTTCCATAATATGTTATGTGGGAGGATAGGAAAGTGGAACCAATTGCATAGAAACCCAAGTATGAAGAAGCACAGGTGAACATAACATGTAATTCCCAATGAACCTTTCATAGAAAGATTATAGGCGTTGAATTGAAGCACATGTTCCGCCCCTTTAATGAAAAAACCAACAGTTTTATGGTGTTTGACAAAACAATGAAAATGAAATTACTCACTGAAACATCCTTTTGGATCTGAACTTCCAAGTCGAGTTCCCTGTAATAGAAATATATTGAATGAATATATCAGAAGAAAAGACGAAGAGATAACATAAATAACGAGACATGTAAAGTATATAAACAGGCCTTGATCCCAAACCAATGAGATCGGGGATACATGAACCAATAAAATAGCTCCCAACGCCAACCAATAATATTCTCTTTCCCCACTCTTTTCTGCACCATATGCATTACTACTTGCCTATAGCAACATATGTACCCTTGGTTTGAAAAATAACTTCTCGAACATTATGGGGGGGCTCCGTTGAAGTTATGTCATGGATAGAGTAATTCAAAAGTACTCTGTAATAATATTATTGATCAATGAAGCACATGATACACCAAAAAAAAAGTATAATTTTTAGCACCTTTTATAGACCTTCAACAATGTTCAAAATTGTCACCAGCGCAGAGCATAAATTTTCATATCCCTTGTGAGCATAAAACAATGAGTTCTTTTTCATACTCTATAGATGATACCTATCCCAGACTCCCCATACGTGACATATCACTGCAAGGAACTATATAAACACTATAACTAACCCCCCTCATTATCCTTTTTTAGTAGAAGACTTCTACCAGACACGCTCAAACTGAAACCATGGACTCCATAAAGAGTACTCCCTCCGTTTCATTCTAAGGTTCTCACTTTCCTTTTTGGGATGTCCCATTTAAAGGTTCTCATTTCTATTCTAGAATACAATTAATACTCTTAAATGACAATTTAATCATCATTTATGAAAAATAATACATCTATAACATCATAGTTATCATCAATGACTCCATTATATTATTTTATATATCTATCAAAATTATTACTCAAAATATACCCGAACTACTATATTTAATTATTGTCAAATTAATTGTGCCATTTTGCAATGAGAACCTTTGAACGGGCGGAGGTAGTAATTAATAATAACCATTAAAGCAACAAGAGTAATTCATCATCAGTGCTTATTATATCTACTCAGTATACAAGTCTAATACTTTAACAAAACATCTAAGGTGCAACTACTTTAAGGACTCATACAAAGGCCCTTTGGTAATGTCATGTCAATAATAATTCATCAGATTCTTACCTGCCCACCAGACAGGAGCAACACAGCTAGTTTTCCTTCAGCAATAGCCTTCATGCCCATATTCCACCATCTATCTTTATCTTCCATTGTTCGTTCCTCCACACTGGACACACAGCTTTCTGGCACTGGCTCTATTGCTGATGCGGGAAGCCCTTATGTTTTATAAAGTACACAAAAAGTATGTAAAACTAGATTCTCCGCTAGGGAAAAAACTATTGAAGTGAGTGACAAGAAAAAGTTGCAAGCTGAGACCTTGAAAGCGGAAAGAGCACTGTATAATCCTATCAATCCTGGGGAGATCTATATTCTGCAAACGTGCACAAAAACAATAACGAATCCTTACAAGTTTGAATATGCATTTCAACAAATGTGTAACAACCTACATAAATCGACTTCAAACTTACAGGAGTAGATTAGGACTAGAATTTCATTCATAATGTAGTAAAAGATCAAATAAAATATAAATCTGCAACATTATACATCCATTAAGTATCGCATACCTTATTAATCATCTAAACATTCCTTCACCGATGAAATCAAAAGTCAAAGCTAAACGTTTACACCACATAAATTAAAAATTAGAGTAAAATTAGAACCAGATTTCAAGTTCCGGATTCAATTAGTCAGAAGAGGGTTCTGAAATTACGTAAAATTCAAATGTACGAGTTACGACGTAAGAATGGAGCTGAAATGGAAATGCATCAGCGAGTGGAATATAAAAAAGACCTCAATATCCTTGACGAGAAGGTCGCGCTCGTCGGCGGAGAGCTCATCCCAGAGGGCAAATGCGTCTTCTTGGCCATAGTCTTTGAGCCTCTCCAGCAGGGCTTGAGGCGGGGGAGATACCGCGGCGGTAGTGTCGGCGGTAGTGTCGGCGGTCACTGGCTCCCTCATTTTCTCTCTCAACACTGAACGATTTTCTCGGTTTAGATCTCCCGGTGTTCTCTCACTACAGATCTGAGTGCATATCTCGGCGGCAGATAAGAAGCATCGGGTGAAGGCTATGGGCTGCTGTTTTTCTTCCGCTGGCGGTTGGTGGTTATAGAGAGAGAAGATACAGTAGCCAAGAAAAGTATAAAATGGATCCCATTCTCAAGGAACATCATTAATGGATTGGATAAGTGATATAGTGATATGAGCAAAAACAAATAGTGATGGAAGGAACCATAACTTGGATGAATAATTTGAGATGTTGGTGACCATTACACATTCATGTAGACAATTATTGTGACTTTTTAAAATCAATACTTTTTACTTACTATTAGCTTGATTTGACATAAGTAAAGGTAAACTTGGAAAGTAAAAACAAAATTCTACCTTACATAAATATGTGTGTAGATCAAATCGAGAACTTCATTTCAGGACAGAGGGAGTAACAAACAATAAATTTCATTTTTCGTCCTATGAGTTTTATGTCAATGTCACATTTAGTCCATGTATTTCCCTTTGTCCACTTTTGATACATGACTACTATGTTTTCGCCCATATTTGGCCCTTCTGCCAATGTTTCAAATGGTTAAAATCGCCGGAGAACGACCACAAATGGTTAAAAATCATTAGTCAAGTACTAAAAGTGGATAAAATGAAATACATGCATTAAATGTGGAATTGGCATAAAACTCATATGATCAAAAGTGAAATTATTTCTAATAACAAATTTCAAAGTTTAACTACATCCGGTCGCCTCCCGGTGCTTTCAAGTGTAATTTTTTAAGCATATTTTTATAAAATGTAAGTTATATCCACCGATGAAAATTGATGGACATAATATACACTTCGTGAATAACACGCTCACAAAATTTTATTAAAAAATTTCACTACGAAGCATCTCAAATGGAGGAGATCGCACGGTGATTCCTCTCAGGCAAGCATGATAGGATCATTCTTTTGTATATATTATAGAAATAATGACAAACATAATATCATGGACTTTTAAATGAACAAATATAAGACTAGTCCTAATTTTGTATAAAAATGAGACAAAAAATAATTGAACAGACTATAATACCTCCACACACCCTGCGATTGACCAACCTATCAACCATCACAACCGAGCGCGAAGTACGTCACAACCCCCGATGTTATCTTAGCCATAAAATCAAATTAAATGTAAGATACTTAGATTATCTCATCATTGTATGTCTTTAATTATTCTTAAATAGATATAATCTCTTATTTTAATCACTTTTATTTCACTTCTTTTATCAAGAAAATAATTAAAAGAAATACATTCCTAACTCAAATTTGATCTTCAACTTGTGCTTGAATTGTTTTATTTTTCTATTTCTATGAAGTTTGAAACCCTACTTCCATTTGGAGGAATTGAATAAAAATAGTTGTTTGTCCATTATATGCTACCAGAATGAGTAAGTTAGGCTTTTGGACAAATTGTTTGTAGTTTAGATTATTTAAAAAATATAGAACCAAATTACGATCGTTGCTTAAATAAAATCTACAATGTGGTTTCATTATCAAATCCGTCCTAAGGCATCCTTGATATCATTTCATTTGATCAAGAACACAACAATGTTAAAGAAACAATAATTTTGCATGTTTTACTTGGGAAATTTAATTAACATTAATTCACATCTTGATTATCATTAAATTTTACAAAAAGAACATGTAATACCTTCATTCGGGTAAAATTACATCAGCTTTATTGCATTCTTGTGTATTCTTTAATGTGTCTTCTAACTCTAAATAAAAAAAATAAACATGATTTAAGTATGGATTCACAACATATTAAATTTCATAATAAGAACAAAGTAACACATCTAACTTTAATCCGGAGCATAATCGCATATATAAGAAAGATATTTAAAACTGAAAAATAGTACATACTTCATTGGCCAAGATTACTTAGGTAACTAAGTATAATACTCGTTTCGTCCCATCTCAAAGAATAATGTGCGACATACAATGGTTGAATAAAGTTTACTTATACTAATATTATATATACACACACACGTGTGTGTGTGTGTATATATATATATATTACATATTACATATGCATATAATTATAATATATTTGGGACTGTTGCGCTTAAAAAGGAAACAAATGTAGTATAAATTTTAAATACTACAATTTACATAAGTAATCTAGAAGCTCTATTCAATAAAAAAATGGTTGAATTTATTATATAAATTCAATATTAAAAGAGAACTAAATTGACTAAGTGAATATATAGTTTATGGGAACTTTAAGCGGTGAGAAGAGTAGTATGATTTAACATTAATCTCAACAGAGTTTTAGGACATAAGTTCACTTTGTGTACTTCAATGATACTGAGTATTAATAATTAATAAAAACAATAATATAGGAAATCAAGCATTCCAGCCCAGCTGGTTGTGAGGTTACCGTGCCTAGTGGGAGGTCTCGAGTTCGAAACCCGCTAGGCACATAAGGGGTTGAAACTCAATGGAGTGAATTTCAACCCTGATTACTCCAGGCCCCCAGACCCCCCTGGAGTAAAAAAACAATAGTATAGGATTCCGGTCATAACCGTTCATACATATTCTCTCCATTCCACAAAAATTTATGAACTTTTCAAAGTAAGGGGGCGTTTGGATATGATTCTTAAAACTGCTTCTGCTCCTTCAGGGAGCAGAAGCAGAAGTTGGAGTGTTTGGATGAAAGTGCAGAAGTGATTCTGGTGCTCTAATTTACTCCTAGAATCAGTTTTAAAAAATAAGCAGAAGCAGAATCAGTTCCAAACACCCCCTAAGAAGTCTAAAAAAACTTTATCATTACCATTTAAGTTATTTATCTTTTCTCTGCACAAATCTTATCCGCACAATTTTTATTTTATTATTCCACATGCAAGTCAAGTTTGACCTATACTTGCGCGACGGATGAAGTAAATATATATAGTATTAAATTTTCGTGCTTCATTTTTGTGAAAATATACTGGTAGGATTGATATATTAAATAACACATTTTATAGTATATTATTATATAGAAAAATTAAAATACAAATTTCTTGTAAAATAAGAATATAGAAATATGACATAACCACAGCTATGAGTCGCACATAGGCCATGAGATCTCACATTTTGTCTTGTGTCAAACATAAATAATGATCAAGCAAAATTCAGTAGTACATGTGTTTTCGGATGGTATTGAAGATAAGTTTATGTAAGTATCATTCCAAGTGTATTCGACTGCTAACACAACATTAGACCTTTTTACAAAGTATTAACTAACGCGGTATATATCACAAAATCCACTAAGAACTAAATCTATTTTTTTGTCCTATTAGTATTATATCAATGTCATATTAGCTTAGGTTCATGTTTTTTTACTTTGCTCATGCCATATGTGTACATTGTGGAATAATGGAACATGTTGCTCTATAAGAAACCCCGACTAATGTATTTATAATAAAATGTCAATAATACAAATGGGTCAGACTAAGCCAACTATTATACATGATTATTGTTTCCTGCAAATTTGTGCTCCTTCTAGCCAAAGCATAGGCACTTCTTGCGTGATTTTGAACTGCAAAAATTTAGTCGAGAGGCCCATATATGACCTGGACAGACGTTGGGATGTTTTTAGAAAATATTATTAAAATTGATGGTAATCAATTTGAGGCTTTATGGAGAGCGTATATAAGAATTTTTATTCAATGGTAAACCTCTCGAGAAGAGCACGAAAATTTGTAGAGAAATGGGGATTCATTTTGATCATCTATATTTAGTATGAAGGACTCAAATCCAAATTATTAACAAAAAGAAAGATATAGGTCTTGCACTTAACTGGTTTATGAGTTGAGTGTTTTACTAAACCCTGAGATTACAAAATCAACCATATATGAGCCGATAAGGAATACCATTAATAACTTGTCGTTTTGATCATTTGGAACAATTCTATTAATTTGCATGGGGCACGAGGAATCCCGTTTTGATTTCATTACAAATCAAATAAATAGGGGTTTCTTTGTACCTTGTTAAAAATATTTTTTTATACAAAATAAGGCATGTGTCTATTGGTTTTCATCTAGCTGGTTGATTTTAGGTATGAGAAGCTCGATTTCCATTTTTTGTTTTGTGTGCGGTTTCATCGGTTATGCAAACAGGTTTTGTCCTTTGGGTTTTGGAAAAGTATCTCAGTAAAAAGGCATTTGGCCCTGACCGAGAACGTCTACAAGTCAAAGCAACATTAATGGAGGTAACAAATGGATGACTTTGGAGCAGTGGTTAAGATGGAAGACAAAACAATCCTGAGGTGGAAGTGTCGAGTGTGGCTAAGGAGGACTACATCTCAGAGTTTCAGGCAGGAGATGGGAGTGAGAATCCTAAGAGATGGTTGGTTATTATACCAAGCACCAAGTCGGGAGATGATGGCAATTCGGGAGAGCCATAAGTGGGAGATCCTAAACGTCGAAAAGTGGAGAAAGAGTTGATGGGAAGAGGCAAACTATGATGAAAGTGGAAATACCACAAAAAACGGGTCAAGGTTGAGGCGAGTCCGGGTCTCTAGGCTCTGAGTGGCTTGAAGATTACATTTTTAACGCAACGTTAAGTCTACTTTAGTAGTTACTTTGATTTTAATTCGTGTTTTATTGCTATATTGTGGTTGGAGTTTTTTGTCTTGGCATATGGATTTTTTAAGTGGTACTTAAGTTGGGATAGGGTTAGAGGTGAATTGATTGATATAGTGACTGGCACTATATCTAATCCTAAAATTTGTCATCGGATTTGGAGTAACTATTTAGATACTTGTCCTCATTTTTTCTGTATTTTAATATAAGCATTTTATCATCATAAAAAACATTACTACAACTCGTTACTGCTACTAATCCCCGCTATAGCTATTACTTACTACTAGTAATGTTATTGAATAGTTCACATCAAACAATAATATTTATAGTTATTTTATTTTTTCTATCATTTACTTTGATAATATTTGCAATGTGATGGAGTATAGTATCATATACCCCAAGGGTAGACAAGACAATTCAAGACAACAACCCGTCATATGCTTGAGCCGAAATGTCATCATAAGTTCCATTCTACGTTCGCCGACCCATTTCACCTCGGGCTGAAGTACTGAACTAGGGTTGTTAATGAACCATTTTTTTGGAATTGTTTGAGATCGAGGTCGATTTCAAACCTAATGAGTCAAGCTTAACGAGCTTCAAACGCGAATACGAGCTGAGTTTTAAGTTCGAATAAATAATTGAGT